GCTCGCGGCCACGTGGCCCTCCTTGGCGGCTCTTTTAATTGCCTCCCTTAACACCGATTGTATAACCGCTGGTGTGCTAATTGTCGACAGCTGCTACCGGCTGAGAGTTAGGATTACTTTAACTGGAATGAAACTTCTTAATCCGGACGATTTATATTAAGGAATTGAAAACAAGGACGTTTAGCCTCGGGTTTTAGTATTAACCCAATTGACGTGTAAACGTTTTTGTTAGGGTTATCTAGTTTCAATTTGTTGTCTATGAAGTCTGTCTTCTGCCTTAGCGAGGTTAGGATTACTCTAACCGGAAGGAGACGTGGTCTTAATCTGAGCGATTTACATTAAGGTGATATTAAAGTGTGATGTGTACATACCGAAATGTCAAAATGTTTATAAAACTTTTCTACAAACTGGGGGCACGGAGTTATCGATAAAATTTAACACGCGATTGGAGGCTCTAAGGAACCGATGACCGTGAAATTTCTTTTTTCGAGAAACGGCGTGAAGTAATCGATAAATTAGAGAAAAAAATATTTAATTTGCATAAATTTTGTTAAGAGTTTTTAAAGAATAGATCGCCTTGGGGAGTGAGCATCGACGTCACCTAGAAGGGGTTCTCGATAAACCAAGAGGAAGAACGCCGTGAAGAAACTATTTTTTTTTTTCGCAAAACTGCCGGAAGTAATCGTTAAATTATAAGAATGTAATATTTGCATAAAAATCATAGAAATGAGAGGGAATTTTGTCATCTTGGGCGCACATAACTCTATTATGAAAAGGATTCCAACGAACGAAGAGAAGGACGTTTCCGCCATGTTTCTAACCTCAAAGCTTGAAGAAACAATTTTTTTTTTTCTTGAAAAACGGCGTGAAATAATAGTTAAGTTGTAAAAGAATTTAAATTTGCATAAATTTTACGGAAGTGAAAGAATCGATCGCCTTGGGGAGCGCGGTACAAGGGACTCTCAATAAACCAAAAGGAAGGACGCTTCCGCCATATTTCTAACCTCAAAGCTTGAAGAAATTATTATTTTTTTTTTAAACGGCATGAAGTAATTGTTAAACTGTAGAAAAAATTTAAATTGCATAAATTTGACGGAAATAAAAGAATCTCTCGCCTTGGGGAGTGTGGTACAAGGGACTCTCAATAAACCAAGAGGAAGGACGCTTCCGCCATGTTTCTAACCTCAAAGCATGAAGAAACAATTTTTTTTTCTCGAAAAACGGCGTGAAATAATAGTTAAGTCATAAAAGAATTTAAAATTGCATAAATTTGACGGAAATAAAATAATCTATCGCCTTGGGGGTTGCGCTACAAGGGGCTCTCAATAAACCAAAAGAAAGGACGCTTCCGCCATGTTTCTAACCTCAAAGCTTGAAGAAACAATTTTTTTTTCTCGAACAATGACGTGAAATAATAGTTGTTATAAAAGAATTTAAAATTGCATAAATTTGACGGAAGTGAAAGTATCAATCGCCTTGGGGAGCGCGGTACAAGGGACTCTCAATAAACCAAGAGGAAGGACGCTTCCGCCATGTTTGCGCCCATAAGTCCTGAAAAAAAAAAGAATCGTTCTCCTTGAGGAGGAAGAAGACGGAAAACCCGCGACTATGACTGGTACCTGACCGTTTGCAATTTGCTTGGAGCGTTCCGCATAATCTAATGGCAATTAGGCCATTCCTAGCTTGCCAGCTATTTATGCTCAAGGAGCACATATTTGCTGCACTTCCCATTCGCGGATTTCAAAATATCTTCGATTGTTACGCATTTCCTCGGAATCTTCCCCGTACAATCGTGCACGCACGGATCTTTGCTTTAACCCTTTGGCTACTAAGAGCGCCTAAAGGCGCCCGACGTTTGGTCCAATATTGCCTGCCCGGTCAGAGGAATTTCGCCCATATGCCGAAATGTGTTAGCTATTATAGCGATATTTTAAGTCGACCATAAAGCTCAACGAATCTCTCCTAATTCTTCTATTTTCGCGGATATAGAGAACTATCCCTTAAAATTGGTCCGTTTTGTATTCTCATAGAGAAAAGATTACAATTAACTTTTTGGCTATTAAGGGCGCCTAAAGGCGGCCGACGTTTGGTCCAATATTGCCTGCACGGTCAGAGGAATTTCGGCCATATGTCGAAATGGCTCCGTGTTCAATGGGTTAAGGAAACTCCATTAAGCCTTTACCCCACCCTGTAATAACATTTCGTAAGTCATTTTAGCGACGCGTAACCCTTTTTGCAAACAGAGCTTCTTTCGAAAGTGCTTTTGCATTGTGAAAGGCAGTTACACTGTTAACAAAAATCGAACCTGTCCTCCTTATCATTAACCTTTTGGCTACTAAGAGCGCCTAAAGGCGCCCGACGTTTGGTCCAATATTGCCTGCACGGTCAGAGGAATTTCGCCCATATGGCGACAGTTTTTCATCGATCTCTTCGTCATTACTTTACCGAAATGGCATATGGAACGCTTCAGTTCGTATAATTCTCAACGTAGACTGTAAAAGACTTCGACATAAATATAAATGTCGGTAACGGGACGCGCCAGCTTGAATATTCAAAATGACGTTCCCACCAAATAGGGTATAGATGAATTTTAATTTATCGACTTCGATTAAATCTCTCAGCGCCTTTCACGTCGTCTTAACGACGGTAATTTAATTTTTAAATTACATGAGTAAATCGAAGAGACATCGAAAGGTCCTGTTTTATCTGCAAATTTGCAGAACCACCGAGTCACTCCGGAATAATATTTTGTCCGATTTTATTAGAGATAATGCGGGAATAGAAATCGAAATGGGAGCAACTGGAGAGGCTTCTCTATGAATTTGCCCTTTGGCAAATATTTATTGATTGAAACGACACTTGTCATCGACGTGTCAATATAAATGGCCGCAATTAGTTGGCCAACATTCACAAGTGCGTAGATAAACTGGAGGCTTTTAGATATACTGTCACTGGTGTCAACTAATAATTAACTTAAGGTGAAGTGAAACACGTCGAGGAACTTGATCGACGTCGGTAAAGAAGATTTTTCTAAATACCTCCGTCGCCGACGTTCGTTTTTATATCGACAGCTGTGTCAAATTATATTGGGTATTAAATTAAATGGCATACTCCACCTGTTGTTTTCATACAATAATTATAAAGAAATCGAAGTCGAAGAGATTTTGTTTATAAAAGTTTTCTCCCAATTCAATTTACCGAATAGTCTGAAACTTTACAACGTGAACAGGGAGACTATAAGGAAACTCCTGAAACTCATGAAATATTAATTCTGTTCAAATTTCTTTATAGGTATTTTAAAAATAGTTTATAAAAAATGAAATTCCGCAAGTTTCAGGACCTTACCTTAGGGTCTCCATATTCACGTTTTAAAGTATGAAACGATTTGAGACACCCGGTTCGGGGATAAATTTTATGAATAATTGAGCTTTCAGGTGCCACTTTCACATCCCCTTAACGTTAAAAAAATTTGTTTAAAAAATCCAAATTTTGAAAGTGTCAGGATAATTCCTAAGTACCCACGAGCCATGTGTCAAAGTTTCAGGCGGTTCGGTTCAATGCCCTTAAAAAATGTCTTTTTCGCGTTGACTGATTTGAGGGGGGGTTTCACTTCACCTTAAAATAATTTGTTTCTAAAAACCAAATTTTGAAAGTGTCAGGATAATTCCTAAGTACCCACGAGCCATGTGTCAAAGTTTCAGGCGGTTCAGTTCAATGCCCTTAAAAATTGTCTTTTTTGAGTCGACTGATTTGAGGGGGGGTTTCACTTCACCTTAAAATAATTTGTTTCAAAAATCCAAATTTTGAAAGTATCAGGATAATTCCTAAGTACCCACGAGCCATGTGTCAAAGTTTGAGACAGTTCGGATCAATGCCCTTAAAAAATGTCATAAAGCAATACATGTCGAACGAAAAGATTTATATAATAATATGATGTATAAAAACGGATATTCCAGGAAAGAATAGAGAGACCAGCAAACTTTAATAGAAAGTACACCACCTATATAAGACATATAAGTCTGTACGATAACTAGCATATAGCTGTCTAGCAATCTCCGGCGGAGTTATTAAAATTCTACCAAGTATGGTGAAAAATTACGCCACGTGTAACCTTACATGTCCTGCAACTATTATGGTCCACAATTCAGGGCATTTGAAAGTGATTTTTTATTCCTAGATAAACTCGGCGGGTATTTCAGTTTCTCCCTATTCTTAGAAGAGCCAGATCATGAAGTGATCTTTACTAGAACTATTACCGACTTTTCAGTTTCTTTCGATCCTTCGAAATGAATCACACCGTGTCAATTGAAATTTTTATACGCGTATGGGTGAATTAGAGCGGAAATTTGTAGACGGAAGAAAATTCAAGTCAGTTTATGAGATATTTCATAAAGAAATGAGTTTCTTATTCCTTCCCAGAAGTAAGCCACAGAGATCTGTTGGAATTGCGAGTTTAAATTCTTTATGTAACTATTATCCCTTTGGCTACTAAGAGCGAATAAAGGCGACCGACGTTTGGTCCAATATTGCCTGCACGGTCAGGGGAATTTCGCTCTTATGCCGAAATGAGTTAGCTATTATAGCGATATGTTAAGTCGTCTAGAGAGCTCAACTAATCTCCCCTAGTTCTTCTATTTTCGCGGATATAGTGAACTAACCCTCAAAATCGGCCCGTTTTGTATCCTCATAGAGAAAAAAATACAATTAACCCTTTGGCTACTAAGAGCGCCTAAAGGCGGCCGACGTTTGGTCCAATATTGCCTGCACGGTCAGACGAATTTCGCCCATATGTCGAAATGGCTCCGTGTTTACATAGATATTTATTTCTTTATATTTTATATATATATATATAAAACGTGATATTTGCGTTATTTCGTCGCCAAAAATATTATTCTTCCTTTCTTTTTTATTCTATTTCCTTTTTGTTGCCTATTCTGCTTCCGGTATAATTAAAATTACATGTAATTATTTTAATTGACCTCGGAATAATTTAATTTCAGTGTCGAGCGTGAGGCTTCGAAGAACATTGAGGAAAATGAGAGGGAATGCTTTAAGGATGCGATCGTATCAAGCAGGAGCCTTAATAAGGGCTTCGTGGAGCCCGTTCTGATAAAAAATGTCGTGCCGGAGGTAAGTGTCTCCTAAAATTTTGGATAAATGGCCAACCCACCAAACACGGTTACATAACAATAATATAACCGTTACATAACGTTAATAACATGTAATGTAACATACATATACCATATAAGTAAGATTTGTATTACTATTTCCTGCGCAGCTATATAACACTGTTATAAAACGAATAATGTAACGTATATATAACATATCGGTAACATATTATGTGTTATGTTAATAATATAACTGCAATGCTTAGAAGTTTGTAACATTGTTACAGAACGGTAATAGTTCGACTTTATGTGATGTTAATGTATCTTTTGAATAACATTCTTTATATATCATGTTATTCCAGTGTAGTTCCAGAATAATGTAACGTATACATAACATGTTATATGTTATATTAATATTATATAACTACAATGCTTACAAGTTTGTAACAATGTTTCGAACGGTAATAGTTCGACGTTATGTGATGTTAATGTATCTTTTGAATAACATTCTTTATATATCGTGTTATTCCAGTGTAGTTGCAGAATAACGTAACGTATACATAACATATCGGTAACATGTTATATGATGTTAATGTATCTTTTGAATAACACTCTTTATATATCATGTTATTCCAGTGTAGTTCCAGAATAATGTAACATATACATAACATATCGGTAACATATTATATGTTATGTTAATAATATAACTACAATGCTTACAAGTTTGTAACAAGGTTACCGAACGGTAATAGTTCGACGTTATGTGATGTTAATGTATCTTTTGAATAACATTCGTTACATATCATGTTATTCCAGTGTTATGTAACTGTAAAATAGGGTGTTTGGTGGGAAGAGACGTCTTTAAGAGATATTAACGAAAGCTTTATAAACGTAGATCGCTTCCTGTATCATCGCCGCGAGTTTCCACATCGCAGTCGGACTCAGCATGGCTTATTCGGCGGTTTTGATTCCACATTTGGAGGACAAGAATTCGGACGTCTACGGGACCGAGACCGAGACATCTTGGATAGGTAAATCCCCGATAAGCGATTAATCACCGTTCGGTATCAATAGCCAAACGATGCCCAATTAGTGGGAGGCAGTATCTAACAGGTGTAAACATCCGCAAATTTTGAAACGCTTTCTCATAATCGATAATGTGACGACACTATTGCACATTTTAGCCAGTATGGTGGTTATCAGTACGCCCTGCGGAGCTTACAATGGCGGACATGAATGCCTCTTCTGCGGATACGGCATCGCCTGTGCAGGATGGGAGGGCATTGATGTCTCCCAGTGTACTACTTCAAAAAACCTATAATCCAAAATTTGACGAAAAATCATTTGGTCATTTCAGCCATTGTGATGATTATCATCATGCCCTGTGGAGTGCGCATGTTATCGTATATCTTGAAAAAACTCATAATCCAAAAGTGACGACAGTCAATTGCACATTTCAGCCAGTATGGTGGTTATCAACACGCCCTGTGGAGCGTACAACTTCAAAAAAACTCATAATCCAAAGTTTGCCGACAATCAATTCGACATCTCAGCCAGTATGGTGGTTATCAGCACGCCCTGCGGATCGTATAACTTAAAAAAACTCATAATGCAAAATGTGACGACAATCAATTGGACATTTCAGTCAGTATGGTGGTTATCAGTACGTCCTACGGAGTGTACAATTGCGGACACGAATGCCTCCCCTGCAGATACGGCATCGCCTGTGCAGGATGGGAGGGCATCGATGTCTCCCAGTGTACAACTTCAAAAAACCTATAATCCAAAATTTGACGAAAAATCATTTGGACATTTCAGCCATTGTGATGGTTATCAGCACGCCCTGTGGAGTGTGCATGTTATCGTATATGTTAAAAAAAAAACCCTAACCCAAAATGTGACGACAATCAATTCGACATTTCAGCCAGTATGGTGGTTATCAGCACGCCCTGTGGGGCCATACTGGGCGGGTTCCTGATGGAGGCCATCGGAAGATTGAAGACCCTACAAGTAGGAGCTATTCCTTGCGCAGTTGGCTGGATCCTAATAGCTCTGGCGACGAACATCCCGATGATCCTAGTGGGGAGGTTCCTGACGGGATTCGCGACGGCCCTGGCGATATCCCCGGCGATCGTCTACATCACAGAGGTGGCCAGGCCGGAGCTCAGGGGATCCTTGATGTCCTTCGGCCCAACTTTGGCGTCCTTCGGGATGCTCCTCATCTACGCGAAAGGCGCCTACTTGTCCTGGAGGCTGGCGGCGTGGCTGAGCATCATCTACGCGGTGGTCCCCGTAGTCCTCGTCCAGGCTTTCGTCCCCGAATCTCCGGTCTGGCTCGTCTCCAGAGGCCGCATCGAGGAAGCCAGGAAGGCCCTTGAGTGGTATGTTCCTTGATGCCAGTCCTCTCCCATTAACCCTTTCGGTGCCATGTAAATCTTTGAACTGCCACCAGGGGGCTAGAATACAAATTTCATATTAAAAATTGTATAATGGCAAGAACTCGGAATTAATATTTTTTAAAGGAGTGTAGGAAGAGAATTTTCCTGCCGAGATATGAATTTTCGTTGTAAGACTTTTTCATTTCATAGTGGGGTGTAAAGGGAAGGGTTTTCATCGCTTCCTTGTGGATCCTTCAGGTTTTACAAGTCGGACGCTAAGCAGGGCAAGATTTCCGCAGCGGAGGCCCAGTTTACGACGATCATGAAAGAGAACGAAATAAAGCTGAGCGACCAAAGGAGGAGCAAACATGGCGGCCTCTCGACGAAGCTCAGGGCGTTCCTCAAGCCCACCGGCTGGAAACCGATGTGCATCCTCTTCTTCTTCTTCCTTTTCCAACAGTTCTCCGGCATCTACATCACCCTCTTCTACGCCGTCACCTGGTTCCAGGTAAACCCTCTTTTGGGCCCTCCCTCTCGGGCCGAGGATGTTAACACACTCGCGACCGCTGACGTGAATTCACGTCATTTTAAATTCTATTCCTGGTTTGCCGCTGACGTGAATTCACGTCTTCAAGTTCTATTCCTGATCGCCGCTGACGTGAATTCACGTCATTTTATTGCAGAAATAATAGTTTGGTCCCATTAGTTTCGACAGCGCCGCCAGGTGGCAAAACTTCTCGCAAGACTGCTCGTTTGCATCTAAGACCTGTTACTATCCTTTATTGGATATAAGATTAATTTTCTGGCTTCGAAACGATACTTGTAAAATAGAGTTGAACTGTAACCACGTATTGTAGTAAGGTTATACCCGTTGTAAGGTTATTCTAAACTTGCCTATGTGATTGCAGAATTACTAGTTTGGTCCCATTAGTTCCGACAGCGCCGCCAGGTGGCAAAACTTCTCGTAGACGATGCAGACTGCTCATTTGCATATAAGACCTGTTACTAACCTTTATTGGATATAAGATTAATTCTCTGGCTTCGAATCGATACTTGTAAAATAGAATTGAATAAAAAGTAAGGAATGACAAGACATCTTACATTTTTAGGAAGTCGGGGCAGGGATGGACTCGTATCTGGCCTCGATCCTGGTAGGTCTAACCCGATTCCTCTGCTCGATGGTGAACACTTGGCTCCTGAGACGCTACAAACGAAGACCTCTCTGCATAATCTCTTCCCTGGGCATGGCAGCGTGCATGATCGTTTCCGGGTACTTTACTCTGCAAGTGAAGAAAGGGGACACCAGCGGGAACTGGGTAAGTATGCTAGGTATACGTCACTATTTTCCGTAAAATCATAACGAGGAACTCTTAAATACAGAAATAATCATTCTTACGAAGTTCTGGTGATATGAAAAAGTTAGGCTGTTATATATATATATATAGCGTGTTCTTAGAGAAAAAATTTAGTTGGAGCTAAACGTCACAGATGGCGACGTTGGTCCTATACAGTCGTTAGAATAATGAATTCCCGGGATTTTGACAATTTTACATAGATCTCTTCGTCATTACTTTACCGAAATGACATATGGAACGCTTCAGTTCGTATAATTATCAACGTAGACTGTAAAAGACTTCAACATAAATATAAATGTCGGTAACGTGACGCGCCAGCTTATGTTCCCACTTGAGTATTCAAAATGACGTTCCCACCAAAAAGGGTGTAGATGAATTTTAGTGTTATCTACCTAGATGCAATTTCTGAACGCCTTTCATATCATCCCAAGCACCGATAAAATTCACCAACGATTGCAAGAGAATCCTGGTTTGTCTCGAGACTAACGCAAGGTTTTAGAGCAAAGATTTAGTTGCAACTAATCGTCACAGATGGCGACGTTGGTCCTATACAGTCGTTAGAATAATGAATTCCCGGGGTTTTGACAATTTTACATAGATCTCTTCGTCATTACTTTATTGAAATGACATATGGAACGCTTCAGTTCGTATTATTCTCGACGTAGACTGTGAAAGACTTCAAAATAAACAATTTAGAATACCGTAGAAATGGAATATTACAGAGTCTTTAGAGCGAAAAATTTAGTTGCAGTTAAACGTCACAGATGGCGACGTTGGTCCTATACAGTCGTTAGAATAATGAATTCCCGGGATTTTGACAATTTTACATACATCTCTTCGTCATTACTTTACCGAAATGACATAAGGAATGCTTCAGTTCGTATAATTATCAATGTAGAGTGTAAAAGACTTCAACGTAGATATAAATGTCGGTAACGTGACGCGCCAGTTTATGTTCCCACTTGAGTATTCAAAATGACGTTCCCACCAAAAAGGGTGTAGATGAATTTTAATGTTATCTACCTGGATGCAATTTCTGAGCGCCTTTCATATCATCTTTAATCGCATAATATCTCCTAGGTTCCAGTGGCTTGTCTGCTGCTGTACGTGTGCACGTCCATGGTGGGGATGCTCACGATTCCCTGGACGATGACCGCCGAGCTCTTTCCATCGGAGATCCGGGAGCTCGCCCATTCCATCAGTTATTCCATGGCAAACGTACTTATGTTCGCCGCGATCCAGAGCTATCGAGGACTGACCGTATTTCTCGGAGGTAAGGAACCTGCAGAGTCCTTTTTATCACCCACTTCGTGGAGAGAAATGGCACATCTCTTTTGATAACTTTATCACAACTCGTGGCGGAGATGCCTGTAAATGAAGGATTATTAATGCTTATGATACTTCTGTATGAAATATGAGGTTGACATCGCATAGAATGAGCGAAAAAATTTAATTATGTTAATATATGATTAAATTATTATAATAATATATAATTAAATAATGTTCGCCGCGATCCAGAGCTATCGAGGACTGACCGTATTCCTCGGAGGTAAGGAACCTGCAGAGTCCTTTTTATCACCCACCTCGTGGAGAGAAATGGCATTTCTCTTCTGATAACTTTATCACAACCCGTGTCGGAGATCACTATAAATGAAGAATCATTAATATTTACGATACTTCTGTATGAAATATGAGGTTGACTTCGCATAGAATGAGCGAAAAATTTAATTCTGTTAATATATATTTAAATTATACTAATATATAATTAAATTATTATAATAATATATAATTAAATAATGTTCGCCGCGATCCAAAGCTGTNCAAAATTTGCATGAAATTTACCTGATGAAACATCATGAAACGAGCCACGATAAAGTCCAGATACACAAAGCGATGCAAAATTTGCATTAAATTTACCTGATAAAACATCATGAAATGGATCATGGTAGGTAAGGTCCAGATAGACAAAGCGATGCAAAATTTGCATGAAATTTACCTGATGAAACATCATGAAACGAGCCACGATAAAGTCCAGATACACAAAGCGATGCAAAATTTGCATTAAATTTACCTCATAAAACATCATGAAATGAGTTACGACAGATAAAGTCCAGAGAGAGAATGCGATGCAAATTTTGCACGCAAAATTTGCATCGCTTGCAAAATGTGCATTAAATTTACCTCATAAAACATCATGAAACGAATCACGATAGATAAAGTCCAGATAGACAAAGCGATGCAAAATTTGCATTATATTTACCTCATAAAACATCATGAAATGAGTTACGACAGATAAAGTCCAGAGAGAGAATGCGATGCAAAATGTGCATTAAATTTACCTCATAAAACATCATGAAACGAGTTTTGGTGTGCAACAAAACGCGCCGATGGGCTGAAACTTCGCAGATTAGCCCTCTTTTTACAACAATTAATGGAACTTTTGGGCAATGATGCTGTGTGCAACAAAACGCACCGATGGGCTGAAACTTCGCAGATTAGCCCTTTCTTTACAACAATTAAGGGAATTTTGCGGCTCCGAAAGATCTAGTTGAAGTTGAAATCAATCCAGCTTTTCGAAGCAGCTCAGGAATTTCGCAAAAAATGGGTACCAATCGGAACGTTTTGCTGTATAGTGCAATGCAGCTATCAGGCAAGTGATAAGGTAGCTTTACTCGGACGTTCCGAATCCTCAAGGCGGGAAATTCAAACTTTGAGTTTCTCTAAATTCAAACTTTGAATTTCTCTGAATTCAAACTCTGAATTTCTCTGAATTCAAACTCTGAACAACCTCAGGGCAGGAATTTCAAACTCTGAACATCCTCAGGGCAGGAATTTCAAACTCTGCCCTAATTATCGGCGTGGCTTCCTCTCGGCAATAAATCTTCGAAAACTCGCAAGAACCGTTCTATTCAAGATCTCTCGTGTCGTATCTCGAATTACTCTCATTTTCTTGCGTGCAGATAGAATTGTAAGAGAATTAAGGTGATATGAAAGTGTCATGTGTACATACCGAAAATTCAAAGTATTTATACAACTTTTCTCCAAACTGGGCGCATCGAGTTATCGGGAACTTTAACACGTGATTATGAAAGTCCCAAGGAAGAACGTGATGTTCGTAAAATTTCATTTTTCGGAAAAAAATGTTTTTTTTTTTGGTTCTCAGAGATAAATACACAATTTTTTGTCGAAAAATGAAATTTCATAAGCATCACGTTCTTCCATAGAACTTCCTCACAAGATTATGAAAGCCATAAGGAAGAACGCGATTCTCGTGAGATTTCATTTTTCGAACAAAATTGTGTATATCTAGGACAAAAACCAAACAAAACATTTTTTTTCGAAAAATGAAATTTTTTGAACAATCGCGTTCTTCCTTAGAACTTCCTCACGAGATTATGGAGGCCCTAAAGAAGAACGCGATGCTCGTGAGATTTCATTTTTCGAACAAAATTGTATATTTATCTCGGACAAGATCGAAAAAAACATTTTTTTTCGAAAAATTAAATTTCACGAGCATAGCATTCTTCCTTAGAGCCTCCATAATCTCGGGATAGAGTCTCAAATGATTCGGTGTCCCCAATTTGGAGAAAAGCTTTATATATCATGTGTACAACTTTGCTTCCGCCGTTTTCCTATAGATGGCTTTTTAATTATTATTAATTATTAAGAAGCGGCGGAAGCAAAATTGTACAATGGCGGACATGAATGCCTCCCCTGCAGATGCGGCATCGCCTGTGCAGGATGGGAAGGCATTGATGTCTCCCAGTGTACACCTAATATATATCTGGACTTTTTGGTACGTACATGACATTCATATCACCTTAAAAGAATGAACTGAAAATGAATATCGCTGTACTTGCGAGCATGAAATACCAAAGTACCCAACGCTCGGGAGAGACGGCCTTCTTGCGTTAATTGAAAGTGCGATTAAACTTCTTCTCCGAGAAAACGTAGCGCGGCGCCAAGTTTTCCGAAGTTTCGGATTCGAGCAACCAGATGGCGCCTCGCGACTTTTCTACCGTTTTTTACATATAATAAATGTCTCGTGCCTTGGAGTTAACGCCTGGAGTTTCTTTTTATTTTAGAGTGTATGGAAGTTACATGTAGATAAGAATTGTGATGAAAGATACATTTTCTAAAGCGCTTTACTACATAATCGTATATCTGTCGCTGATAAGTTGCGAAGTGAATGTGTTCTCTTGTTTACTCTTAAACAAAAACATCGTTTATTCGCAGGCATCGCGGGTGGAGAACGTGATTGCCTGTAAATAAGGTGCATGTGTCGTGTGAGTGTAATTGCGGACATTTAATTGTACATTAGATTAATGGTCGTTAGGTCACTTTTAGTTATTACCGACCGCGGCCATTCAGCTGTGAACTTTGGTGCCTGCATGTGTCGGCCACGAAGTATTAATAAATATTAAAACGTGTTTAATATACTTCCTAAGAAAATCTTATCGTTGAATATTTAAACAATGGAAACTGTTTAAGGGTTTTTTATTGTGTTGAACGCCAACTGGGTTACGATTGCATTGATTCGACTGGATTACATTATGATTACTTTATCGCAGAGAGAAGTTCACTTGAGAGAAGTAATTGGTGGCGCCATCTGTGTAGCAGGAGTGGAACTATTTCTTGGAGCTCTAGTAGCGGTACAGTTCTATACGCAGTAAGTTACGTTAAAAACGATCAAAGTTCCTAGCAACTTATCGGTCATTTCTTCAAATCTTTTTTTTTTTCTCTCCGAGAAATTATAGGAATTTAAATATTTGCCACGTGGTGAATGAGCAGTTCTGATTGGTTGCAAAGAAACACCGGAGTGAGGGAACTTCCGTTGTACATTTACATAATATAATTGATGACACGTAAATATTTTCAGTTGGAAGTAGAGAAAATTCTATAATTAATATTTTTTAATAATATTTATTACTCTTTGACTTGAACTTCGAAGTGCATTGAAAAGAAATGTTAGTTAAATGAAGGAACCTCGGGTATTTAAATTAAAGAAAATAACGTTCTTATAAATTCTCGATATTCTCGGTAACTTACGGTATGTTTCCCAGTTACCTTTTCCGATTTCATATTATTGCAGGAGAATGAAAAACAATTTAACTACGACAGGGAAAAATTATAGTTTAGTTCATTCCAGCCGCGGTTAGGTAGTAATACATAATTATTGTAAATTGTTTTAAACATTATGTACAAAACTAAAACGCTACATTTAACAAACGTACACTTTTCGTTAAAGTGTAGAAAGTGTAGGCAAAACGAACAAACCTAGTTTTGTGGAACTTAGGCATTAGTTCCTCCTTTCTCCGCGAGATGGCGCCAGTATTACTGTTTTCAATTTATACTTTGCACAGCTTTATATCGAAGCCATTTGTCATCGATTATGCCGACTATGCGCTTCGGAATAAAAAGTTGATAACAAGTTAAGATTTTCAAAACATGTTTTAAATACTGCCTTTTCATACATAAGTACGTGCTGCCGTTCCGAAGAGAATCATGGTAAGATAGAACGTCGCATTAATATGATTAATTTAATTCTTCATTGAATTGCCGGCGTCGTTAAATCCATTCTAACCTCAAAGTGAGATTTGAACACATCACTGTTGCGCATTCCTGACAGTAATTGTCATTGACATTTATCTCTGCAAGTCAGATTATGCATCCATTATGTACATTTGATGTAATTTACCTTGGGCGTAACCTTTTTAATCACTTGTATGTGCATGCGACAGGCATCGAATGACGGCATCCCAGCAACTGCTGCTGTGTCTGCTTTCCCACCAGCTGCTCCAGCAATTGCGCCTGCATTCGTTCCACCGATGTTACCCGGTGGACCACCATTTAGTCTGCCGCCGGTTCCGCCAGGCATTATGCCTACGCAGTTTTCTATTCCACCTCCCGGTTTTGGTTTCCCTATCCCTGCTGCTCCACCACCCGAAGCAGGGGTTATTGGTAAGCTTGATAATAATATGGATCTTTTTACTTTTACGTAGATAAAGTCCAGTTATGTTCTTGTCTCAGCTGCTCCGCCTCAAATTACGACACCAACGATTGCCCCGCCAGTGCCAGTGGTGTCCGATGCTGGGTCGCTGACTCCCACAACTTCATCGGACAAGAAGTCAGAATGGTCTGAGCACAAAGCTCCTGATGGCCGCACCTATTATTATAACGGCGTTACGAAACAGTCTTTGTGGGAGAAGCCTGATGAATTAAAAACTCCCAGTGAGTTGCTTCTATCGCAATGTCCGTGGAAGGAATATAAATCAGAAAATGGCAAGGTGTATTATCACAACATTACTACTAAAGAATCAAGGTGGAGCATACCACCGGAGTTGGAGGAACTGAAAACACGTATTACTGCCGAAGAAGCTGCGGCAGCCGCTGCAGCAGTTGTGGCAAATGCTACAAATACGTAAGTATTTAGGAGTCTATTTCTATAAAGTAACTAAAAATGTCACCTTTTTGATTGACTAATATGTTTTTAATCCAATGTGTCAGGGGAATGGTTCCTGTAGCTATGCAGCATATGTCACCGAGTATTCCAACCATCTCGCAGACAAGTACTCCAGAGCCTGGAGGAAAGTCTGCGATAGAACAAGCAATGGCTGCGACTCTCGCAGCCATAAACATTCCGACACCACCTACAAAACCGGATGAAGACAGCAATTCTGCGAAGGAGTCTGCCAACGACAGTCGTACCAGTACTCCAGAGCCAAAAATGCAGTTTAAGGACAAGAAGGAAGCTATCGAGGCTTTTAAAGAGTTATTGAAGGAGAGGGACGTACCATCGAATGCTACTTGGGAACAAGCTGTTAAAATGATTCAGAATGATCCACGCTACCCTCAGATGAAGAAGCTGAACGAAAGGAAGCAGGCATTCAATGCTTACAAAACCCAGAAACTAAAGGAAGAGCGTGAACAGGAAAGACTGAGGTGCGTAGAATATCAATAGAAATCCCTACACTTCGTAAGAAATAACCGATCAAGGTTGAGAATAAAAAAAACGGCGATTCCTTTGCAATTGTTGATAATTTAGACATACAATTTGTGATAAATATGTAAAATGGAATGCTTTTAGATATGAATAAATACAACTTATCATTGCAGATTGAAGAAAGCGAAGGAAGACCTCGAGCAGTTCCTACTTGACAGCGATCGAATGACCAGCACTACGAAGTATTACAAGTGCGAAGAGATCTTTGGAAACTTGGACATTTGGCGTGCAGTGGGTGATTCCGATCGGCGAGACATTTACGAGGACGTGATATTTAACCTAGCTAAAAGGGAGAAAGAGGAGGCGAAGCAACTGAAAAAGAGGAACACGAAGAGGCTAGCACAAGTCCTCGACACCATGACGGACGTCACCTACAGGACCACGTGGCAGGAAGCGCAAGCTCTTCTGTTGCAGCACACATCCTTCGTCGACGACGCCGATCTTTTAGAGATGGACAAAGAAGACGCGCTACTCGTCTTCGAGAACCACATTCGCCAGCTCGAAAAGGATGAAGAGGAGGAGAAGGAGCGCGAGAAGAAGCGCAGGAAACGCCAGGAAAGGAAAAACCGTGACGGTTTCATTGTGAGGCTATTAACATTCATCGATAGATTTGTCATGAATCACGAGTAAATATTTATTATCGGGTTGTTTGTCAATGTAAGATGTCAATTGTTTATTCCAGAGTCTCTTGGATGAACTGCACGAGCAAGGAAAGTTGACTTCGATGTCCCTCTGGGTGGAGTTGTATCCGATGCTCTCCGCAGACCTTCGATTCTCAGCTATGCTGGGACAGTCAGGGTCGACCCCTTTGGATCTCTTCAAGTTCTACGTAGAAGATCTAAAGTCTCGATTCCACGACGAGAAGAAGATCATTCGCGAGATCCTTAAGGACAAGAACTTCGAGGTACAGGTCAATACGACCTTCGAAGAGTTCGCTACAGTGGTCTGCGAAGACAGGAAGTCTGCTACCCTGGATGCTGGGAACGTTAAGCTCACTTACAATCTTTTGCTCGAGAAAGCTGAGGCCAGGGAGAAGGAGAGGGTTAAGGAGGAAACTAGGAAGTTCAAGAAACTGGAGACTAGCTTCAAGAACCTCCTTAAGACCATCGATGTGGACTATCAGATGAGCTGGGAGGAGATTAGGGCCAAGATCGAGGAAGAGCAGGACTTTAAGGCGATCACCCTCGAAAGCGAGAGAGTCAGGATCTTCAAAGAGTACCAGCACGAGCTTGAAGAGAGCTGCAGTCACCATCATATACGAAGTAAGAAGAAGAAGATGAAGAAACCGAAGAGGAGGTCGCGGTCGCGTTCACACAGTGTGAGTTGGCCTCGCGTTTACTTTCTTCATTGTTATCAATACATCAGACTCTCCATTAACACTAGATTGCCGGATGTTGGGTATATACCTATTTTGCCTGAAATGAGTAAATTTGACTCGAACATCAAAATTGAGGTTAAAAAAAAGAAATTTTATTTTATACATCCATATACAATTATTGAAGACTCTGATATGAGAAACGAAAGGCTCAGGACAATTTTACGACCATTTAGAACACTCTGGTAATCGATAAACTCGCATTTTAACGAGATAAAGGCAAAATAAGTGTTTTATGCGCTTCTATACTAGAACGATGGGAATACGAGGTCTCGGTGTGAAGATTTAAGTGACCTGGAAATCACAGATGGCGCAGGGGGTCCCTCTGCAGTCTATGTTTATACTCTACGAGTAGTAAGGATTCAGTAATTTAAATTATTTCTTGTCTTATCGTAGGAGTCCGAAGGCAGTGAAAAGGGAGCAAAGAAGAAGCGTCGCAAGTCTCGCTCCCCCAGCGTGCAAAGTAAATCCGAGAGCTCTGACTCAGAAGGGAAGAAGTCGAAAAGGAAGAAGCCGAAAAAGAAGAGAGCTCGCAGTCACTCGGTGAGTTGAATCCGTTCATTTTAACGATTACTCTTTAAAAACACTCGTCACCTTAAGGGGATGTGAAAGTGGCATCCGAAAGCTCAATCGTTCATAAAACTTTTCTATGAACCGGGTGTCTCAAATCGTTTCATACTTTAAAACGTGAATATGGAGACCCTAAGGTAGGTCCTGAAACTCGCGGAATTTCATTTTTTATAAACTATTTTTAGAATACCTATAAAGAAATTTGAAAAGAATTGAAATTTCATGGGTTTCAGCACGTTCCTTATAATCTTCCTATTCACGTTGTAAAGTTTCAAACTATTCGGTAAACCGGGGTGGGAGAAAAGTTTTATAAACAAAACCTCTTCGACGTCACTTTGATGTGGGGATGTGAAAGTGGCATGCGAAAGCTCAATCGTTCATAAAACTTTTCATAGAAATGAGTGTCTCAAATCGTTTCATAATTTAAAACGTGAATATGGAGACCCTAAGGTAGGTCCTGAAACTCGCGGAATTTAATTTTTTATAAACAATTTTTAAAATACCTATAAAGAAATTTCAAAAGAATTGAAATTTCATGAGTTTCAGGACCTTCCTTATAGTCTCCCCATTCACGTTGTAAAGTTTCAGACCATTCGGTAAATTGAATTGGGAGAAAAGTTTTATAAACAAAACCTCTTCGACACCACTTTCACATCACCTTAACGATCGGCATTAATTTGTCGATGGCCAGCTTAAATACCTCTTTAATTAATTATTAGTTATTACGGTAGTTAAAAGTTTTAACGCTTTTCTTTCCGTGTCGCAGCGTTCGCACTCGAGGCTTCCATCGTCCGAGGATTCTCCGGATAGGAGAAGAAAGGAAGAAAAGCACCGAAGAGCCTCGGCTCACAGCGAAGGCTCGATTAACGAAAACAACGAGCACCACGAACTCTCCGAGGACGAATTGGAGAAACAAAGAGCTCAATTACTGCGCGAACTTCAGATGCAACAAGAAGAGAACTGAGTTGAATCTTCCGGATCTCTCGTCTCTCTATCCCGAGGCATTTAACCAAGTTCCTCCATTAAATGGAATTTTTTGGGCATTCGGTGGAAAAGACATTCGCCTTCTTTGCGAAGACGACTCTAGTCGCGGGTTATTCGCCGAGCCCTTCGTTTACAGGAACTGTACAAACACTGTATGCACATTATTTTCCAACGAAGAGGCATCGTTTATCACAGAACTTTATAAATTAATTCGACAAACGGAAGCGCCTCTTCGGCGCAGAGGCAAGGCTCTTTTGCGATGTGTAAACTGGCTGGAACTGAAATCTCGACGGAATTCCTATTTCAGGAAGAGAACCGAACAATAAATGGACACTGCAGTGAAACTGAAACGAGGTTGTGGCCTAATGTTAAATTTCAGAAGTCTCCATAGAAGCCCAGAAGGATACGGACGTTCGATGCTCGATAAATAGTATGTTAGCCAACGGATGGCGGCGCTGTAATCTCTTCTCTTAATCTTATGACGCTACATATGGAATTGCATTCTTTCTTTATCTTAGCCACGATACTGGTCTTTATATATGCGACTCTCTTCCTCCCTTATGTGAGATATCGTTGGCTAACACATGCGATCTCTCTTTTACCCTAACTTCTGGTTTGTTAACCAACTTTTAGAGCATCAACCGCTAACGTAGGATCTGCGCTTCTATGGGACTTCTGAATTCTTTGGTAGTACCAAATGAATTCAAAAGTCCCATAGAAGCTCAGGAGGATAGGGACGTTCGATGCTCGACAAATAGTACGTTAGCCTACGGATGGCGGCGCTGTAATCATCTCTCCATCTCTCTTAATCTTATGGCGATATATAGCGAATTGCATTCTTTCTTTATCTTAGCCACGATACTCGCCTTTATATATGCGTCTTTCTTCCTCCCTTATGTGAGATATCGTTGGCTATCACATGCGATCTCTCTTTTACCCCCACTTCTGGTTTGTTAGCCAATTTTTAGAGCATCAAGTGCTAACGGAGGATCTGCGCTTCTATGGGAGTTCTGAATTCTTTGCTAATGTGCAGGATTAAAGTCCCTGTTGACGCAGAGGCGATTTTAGAAATTGTCATTGAAATTATCGAAGGCTCCGATATGAGAAACGAAAGGGTCAGGACAATTTCACGACAATTTAGAACACTCTGGTAATCGAGAAACTCGCATTTGAACAGGATAAGGGCAAAAAAAGTGTTGTATGCGGTTCTATGCTAGAACGATGGTAATACGGGGTCTCGCAGTGAAAATTTAATTCACCTGGAAATCACAGATGGCGCAGAGGTCCCTCTCCAGTCAATTAGGGCCCCAGAAACCATGAATCCAAGGAATTTCTGGGGTTTTACATCGATTTCTTTATAATTATTGTACGAAAACGACAGGTGCAGTATGCCATTTGGTACAATACCCAATATAATTCGACCCAGCTGTCGATATATAAACCAACGTCGGCAACGTAGGCATTTAGAAAAATCTTTATCGACATCGATCAAGTTCCTCGTGGTGTTTCACTTCACCTAGTAGCGTTTTTCTCCGCTGTGGCAACGCGGGGGTAGAAAAAAGGAAGAACCAGGGAAAGGAAAATGAAGATAGAGACCCGGTACACGTTGCATAACGTGGCTGAAATTACGTAGCGTTTAGAACCGTGTAAAAATAATTGCAACCGACTCCTACGCCTCGGCTGGCCTTCTCGGTGACCCGACGCGAAAATGTTCTAAAGATCTCTAAGCACGAGTCGGTCGTTTATTATTTCCACGAGTCGATGCACAACCTCGCCGAGGTCGAGAGCGATATCTCCTCGGCCGAAATAAGGACGGCCAATTTTTCCTACCCCAGACGGAATTACACCTTGCTAGCGATCGATCGTTGAACGACAACTTTTTCGCAAACGGCTCGTACGAGTTTGATTCGCAGCTGATGCGAGGTTAAGGTGAAGCGAAACCCCCTTCAAATCGGTCGATTCAAATACAACACTTTTTTTTTAAGGGTATTAGTCCAAACTGTCCGAAACTTTGACACATCGCTCCTGATCATCTAAGAATTGTCCTGACACATTGAAAATTTGGATTTTTTAACAAAATTTTTCGGTCGAATAGAACACTTTTTTTTAAGGGCATTTGACCAAACGAAGATATAAGAAGATAATAAAATATTGATGAAGTTCCTCGACGTGTTTCACTTCACCTTAAGGCGAAGCGAAACCCCCTTCAAATCAGTCGATTCGAATAGAATACTTTTTTTAAGGGCATTTGACCAAACGAAGATATAAGAAGATAATGAGATATTGACCTTGAAGGATGGTAAATATCCAGAAGATACGCTAATTTGACGGATAAGAGCCAGCCCAAACTTTGATAACCGCGCATTCGTGTCTTATCGGTCGAGTGTAAGGTATGCGTCAATTTTATTTTTACCTGCTTATCGATCATTTCTCCATCACGGACGAAGTTCATCTCATTAGCGCGAGCATTAAACGAGGAGTCATAAAGTCCTTTAACGATTCTCCAGGTAATCGCTAAGTTTTTACATTCTTTTTTTTTTCTCTCTTTTAATTTTTCGGAACTCCGATTACGGTGATATGAAGGAGTTGCTCTATATATCAAAATATAAAAATGTTTATAAAACTTATCCCCAAACTGGGTGCGCCGTATTATTTGAAACTTCGGCACGCGATTATGAAGGCCCTAAGGAAGAACGCGATGCTCGTGAAGTTTCATTTTTCCAAAAAAAAAATATATATGTCCTTAGTTCCAGTCTGGGACGAACAATTTTTTTGTTTAAATGAAGTTTTACGAGCATCGCGTTCTTCTTTAGGGCCTTCATAATCTCGTGAAGTTTCAAATGATTCGGTGCACTCAGTTTGGAGGAAAGNATACACACATACATACATTAAAAAAAAAAGTGAAAATATTTATCAAACTTTTCTCTAAACCGGGTGCACTGAATCATTCGAAGCTTCGACACGTGATTATGAAAGCTCTAAGGAAGGACGCGATGCTCGTGAAGTTTCATTTTTCCAAACAAAAAATATATGTCCTTAGTTCCAGTCTGAGACGAACAATTTTTTTGTTTCAATGTAATATCGCGAGCATCGCGTTCTTCCTTAGGGCTTCCATAATAACGTGTTAAAGTTTCAAGTGATTCGGTGGACGTAATTTGTAGGAAAGATTTTACCAACATTTCGACTTTTTCTTATCTACACATCACACTTTCATATCACCTTAAAAGCGCGTAAAAGATTCCCTGTAATCGCTTCCCCGTGACGCATCCACATTGGACTCGATCGACCCAAGCGATATCGATCTTCGCAAGATCCTTAGAATCGCCCCTGAGGTTCGCGCCCCGAACCCGATCGACCCGAGTGATATCGATCTTATCGAGATCGTCGAATTCGAGAGCGGGCGCGAGTTTAAATATAACCGCGTCTCGGGGCAGGGTCGCGCGCACATTGGCGGAGGGCCGGGGGCGCAGGCGCATTGGCGGAGGGCTCGCCGCGCGCAGCAGCGATTGGCGCGCTTCCCCTGTGGCCGGGCGGAACCGTGCGCGGTCATTCGTCGGCTCGGCCGATGGTGGACGTGCTATCGAGGCGAGTCAGGGGCCACGAACAGTCCGGCTTCACGTAGGGCAGCACTTGGTTACATATCGCGTGTTCCCCGTGTCAAGAGAGGAGACCCTAGAAGCGGCTCGGCGAAATGTTGGCTCTCTGCCGTCAGGCGTTCCTGGCCAGCGGGCAAAAGTGAGTAGAACCTTCGGTGCCGTCTCCCTCGAGGGACCTCGACCCCGACCGGGCCCCCCGGGGCCCTTATCAAGGTCTTATCGATCGATCTTTCGAGGAGGCGGTGCGCCCGACGAGGAGGACCATCATGATAGTTCGTGCGCATTGACGGAAGGACTCGCGGGAACGGTGGCCCGCGGAGGAAAAAGAAAATGGCGGACGTACCCGAACTTGCGAGGGCCTTCCGTTTATGTAACGATCGATCGGTCGTATTTCCCAGGCCCGTTACGGTCGCACGTAGGAAAGTTATGCCGCTCTTTATGACGCTCCTTCTCCTCCTCCCCCCGTACCCCCCCTACCTCCTTCCCTTTCGACCCATAACGTGTCTTAAGGACACGGTTTCGGAATTTTCCATCCTCAGGGAATTGGGTCACCGTAGCGGAGAGGGAACCTAACCTCTCGCGTGACCCCCAAAGGGACGGCCCTTCGTTAATTCCCTCGTTTAACCTATGCTTATAGCGGATTAAGTCCTATCGATACTACTACGTGTATATATGTGCATATGTATATATATGTATATATGCATATTGTATTATTAATCAAGGTTTATAGGGGAAACGTATGCTCGACTCGTTACTACGCGTGAAGGTCATGGTCTGGAGCAGGGTTGGGTAATTTCAGGTTGTTTTTTTTTGTTTTTTAAGTTCTTTACCGATATTACGTAAACCAAGTTGATTGTAGGTTCCTATGTGAAGGATGATGTAGATGCGTGATATATGTGTACGATAGGTTATAGTATTTTAGCGAACGTGTAACACGAATATTTTTAAGGTGTAATTAATCTGACGCTTGTGTTTAAGATTTTTTCGACTTAACATCGTTTATTATGAAATTTCTATTCTATTTGTTTAGGGAACATTTGTAAGGACTAATTTGACGCTTGTGTTTAAGATTCTTTTGACGATACCGTTTATTATGAATTTTTTTATTCTATATGTTTAAAGAACATTTGTAAGGGTTAATTTAACGCTTGTGTTTAAGATTCTTTCGAGTTAACATCGTTTGTTATGAAATTTCTATTCTATTTGTTTAAAAATAGACGGCGTAATATACTTTATGCTTGCATAGAAAACTAGGGACCAATTATATATTGTAATATACATGTAGAAAACTATTATACATTGACGTATTATACATTGTAATATGCATTTCGAAAACTAGAGACGTATTGTACGTTGTGATATGCACGTAGAAGACCATGTATATTACATGACGTATTATACTTACCCAACCTTGGTCTGGAGTTCCGAGAGAAAGGTCCTGCAAAGGAAAACGAACGTTAGAACTTACATTCGGAAAGAATTAGAATTGCAGAAGGACACGGTACGTGTTTTTGATTTTCTGAATTGGCAAGAAGAAGTATTATCAGGTGGGCGAAATTCTTAGCGAGTCGCATCTGTAACCTACTTATTTTGGGAAGGTGCCCAAGGGTGAGATCGAGTCTAATAGGTACCATCGAAAAAAGAGAAAAAACTAACGTAACTCTTACGTCAGGTCCGTGACACGAGCACCAGGTATTTGCTAGACTTGTTAATTCACTGATTGTATGGTCTATCTCGTCAACTGGATATTACCATTTAGCGTTGTTATTCTTATCATTTTTAAATTAACAAGTTAATGCCTTACTTTTTTTTCTGCTTTTTGTTGGGATTTTAGCCAAACAATTTTACACATCGAGCGGTGCAGTTTACGATCTATTCCAAGGCCCAGAGAGTGGACGTTTCATTGGGTCAAGTGCAGTTTATTTATAGGATCCCTAGCCTGTAATTTGTCATAATTATTCAGAGAACGATAACCTCTTGAGCCTGTTGTCACCGATTACGTAATTGCCATCTGGAGCTGTTGACCGGATATTTCAGTTGCGGTACACCTACTATATGGCCTTGCGACTTGCCTTTTTTTGCCAGGCTTGAACTATGTCTGCGGTAATTGCTCTCGGGGCAACAAACTCTTAAGCTTCTTGTCTTTGGTTACATAACTAGTATTCGGAGGCGATCTCTATTCGAAGCCATCTGCTAGAAAAGAATATTGGCACATGGACCGATCTCCTCGACCTTGCATCTCTTGCCAGTTTTCACTCGTGGTCTCATTCAGATTTACTTTAATGTCCTATATTCCTTGGGTAATTATAGTATCTTCTCTGTGACATAATACTGGTAAACGTGATAAGGAATGCTAAGAGTAGTATTATGTATGATTCATTGAGAAAGGGTCTTATCTCGGAGTCCCCTTGTCCACGTAAAGCTCAGCTCATTGATAAGGCCAGGGTTATCATAGGCTACTTTCAATTCTCTTTCAGCTTCCTCCAGACACTGATAACGTCTGATAAACTCTTCTGTAGGCCAGAGATAAGACAGTAAACATTTATACTTAGTATCTCGGGATAAGGGAATCTCTGCACCTGTTTAGTTCCTACGACCTTGCGATAAGGACCTTTCTCAGGATCCATTCTTGTCCACTTGTTATATTTATAGCCATCGAGGCATTGTAATATACTTGTGAAGAAGAGTACTAAAGTTTAGCACTTTATTACTCTTGGTTTTCTATTTTTATCGATGGTAATGTGTCGTCTAACGTACTCTCTTCTTTATTTTACAGGGTTGGAGCAAGATGTTTCGGTTCTATCGTACCGGTGCCGAGCTTTCCAGAATTTCCTCTGCAGAACGAACCTCTGCTAAGTTACAAAAAGGGCAGCAAAGAGCGAGCAGAATTGGAGAAGGCTCTGGAGAAGATGTCAGGTGAATGCGAAGAGGTTCCGCTGGTGATTGGCGGAGAAGAAATTAAGAGTGACATCTGCAAGTACCAAGTCATGGTGAGTACGCTTCATTCAAGTAGGATCTTCAATTTGAGACATGTTTCTAAAGTAGAAATGAATGCCAAGTCGAGAGAGAAATTCCACGTAGTGGATTCTATTAACCTATTTTTGAGGGTACCTTCATTTTATATGGTTTCGGATAATTTAATGTCCTATTATGTTTTTTCTTATCGATCATTGTTTAGAATTAATTGTACCGTTGGTTTTTTCTTTTCTACCAGCCACATAATCATAAACACAAAATTGCCAAGTATTACTGGGCTACGCCACAGTTAGTACAAAAAGCTATCGATGTGGCTGTGAAGGCCCAGCGAGAGTGGGAAAAGGTCCCCTTCGAAAAGCGTCTGGAAATTTGGCTTCGAGCTGCAGACCTCATGAAGACGAAATATCGACAGCAGCTCAATGCAGCTACTATGCTTGGACAAAGCAAAACTGCTATTCAGGCGGAGATCGACAGTGCCGCTGAGCTGATTGATTTCTTCACAATGCACGGATGGTTCGCGAAAGAAGCTATGAAATACAAACCGATTTCGCCAAACTCGAAAGAGACTCTGAACTCCATGAGATACCGAGGGATGGATGGATTCGTTGCTGCTGTCTCTCCGTTCAATTTCACTGCCATCGGTGGGAATCTCAGCCACACGCCAGCTTTGATGGTTTGTACATTTTATATTATTCTTCACTCAATATTTAATATTTTCCTTATATTTAGGAATAATTTTCAACGTCAGATTGAGACATTTATGCGGTTTTTTTTTCTATTTATTTCTTTCAAGAAAAGATGTACTAATTTATGCCTCAGCCGAACATAAGTGCATCTGTGCAAAAACTTATAACATCAAATTTATAATGTTCCGATAAGTTGAGGCATAAGTTCGTACGGTTTTTTTTGTTGATATTGTTAACAAAAAAAAACGCACGAACTTACGTCTTAACCTAGTGTGTTCGAAGACTTATTTAATTTAGTGGTTTGTAATCTGATCGATTAACATTTCAGGGCAATTCTGTACTGTGGAAGCCATCCGATACTGCCCTACTATCAAACTGGTGGATATTCAAAATCAGTCGTGAAGCAGGAGTGCCTCCTGGTGTTATCAACTTTATCCCCTGCGAAGGTCCTGTCTTCGGAGACACCATCACTGCCTCACCGTACCTCTCTGGCATTAACTTCACAGGCTCGGTGCCCACTTTCAATCGTCTCTGGAAGCAAGTCGGTGAAAACATTTCGAAGTATAAGAACTATCCGAAGCTCATCGGTGAATGTGGAGGCAAGAATTACCACTTCGTTCATCCAAGTGCTGACCCTGGAAGTGTCGTTATGGGCACCATCCGCAGTTCCTTCGAATTCAATGGACAGAAGTGCTCGGCTTGCAGTAGGATGTACGTTCCAGAGTCCCTGTGGAGTGAAGTAAGTTACTCTGGTTGTACTTACGGAATTTCGAATAACAATTTGAAGACTTAATTCTGTCTTCTGCTAAAAATAAGACTATCGAGTATATAGTTCCTTGGACATTTCGAGAGCATAGTTGAGAAACTTTGGCTGCCTGCCAGCACAAATGAGCGAACGGTGCTAATGTCATCATGAGTTTTAGATTTGTGCTTGATAAAAAAAAACACTGTTTTAGATTTGTGCTTGATAAAAAAAACACTGTTTTAGATTTGTGCTTGATAGAAAATATAATAAGCTAGTTGTCAAAGCATAAAGCTACAACCTAAAGCTACCAAATTGTCCTGACCCTTTCGATTCTCATATCAAAGCCTTCGACAATTGTATATTGATCGAAATATGAGAGCTCGACGCCATTTTGATTTTGGTCTGGGCTGAGTTAAAAAATTTGTTTGTGAAAAATCCAAATTTTGAATGTGTCAGGACAATTCTTAGACGATCAGGAGTGACGTTTCAAAGTTTCGGACAGTTTGGTCTAATACCCTTAAAAAAGTGTTGTATTCGAATCGACTGATTTGAAGGGGGTTTCACTTCACCTTAACTGTTTCATCTGTTACTACATTATTGGTAAATACGGATTGCTTAACGAGGAAATCTAGTTAATGTTAAAAATAAATAATTCCACATTACAGTACATTCAACGCATAACGCTGTGACGCTGTGACGCTGTTAGTCATTATTGATACTATACTTTATTGTAAATTCTCAGATAAAATCCGGCCTACTGACGATCCGGGATCAACTAAAGGTCGGCGACGTAAAAGACTTCACGGTCTTCACCGGAGCAGTTATCGACGCAGTGGCATTTAAGAGGATCTCCGGTTACATCGATCACGCTAAGAGCTCAAAGAACCTGGAGATCATCGGTGGCGGTGGCTACGACTCCTCGTGAGTTCTTTCGAAAAAGCTTTTCTATTTTAGAAAAGTCCTTTATACCGAGAGTTCGCCCGGCGAACGAGTATCGATTAAATACTCTTCGTAGCTGTGGATACTTCATCGAACCGACGATAGTCCAGACGAAGGACCCCAAGGATAAGATTATGACGGAGGAGATCTTTGGGCCGGTCCTCACGATCTATGTATACAAGGATAGTGCCCTCGACGAGACGATGAAGCTCGTGGAGTCCTCCACTCCGTACGCCTTGACCGGGGCCATCTTCGCCAGGGATCGGTGTGTACACCTTTTGTACCTTAACGACCTCGAGGAGAGCTTTCACCGGTGCTTAAGATGATATGAAAGGCGCTGAGGAATTTAATCCAGGTCGATAAATTAAAATACATCGGTACCCTTTTTGGTGGGAACATCATTTTGAATACTCAAGCGGGAATGTAAGCTGGCGCGTCACGTTACCGACGTTTGTATTTATTTTGAAGTCTTTTACAGTCTACGTTGATAATTATACGAACTGAAGCGTTCCATATGTCATTTCGGTAAAGTAATGATGAAGAGGTAGATGTAAAACTGTCGAAATCCCGGGAATTCATTATTCTAACGACTGTATAAGACCAACGTCGCCATCTGTGACGTTTAGCTGCAACTAAATCTTTGCTCTAAAACCCTGCGTTAGTCTCGAGACAAGCCAGGATTCTCTTGGAATCGTTGGTGAATTTTACCGGTGCTTAAGATGATATGAAAGGCGCTGAGGAATTTAATCCAGGTCGATAAATTAAAATCCATCGGTACCCTTTTTGATGGGAACGTCATTTGGAATACTCAAGCGGGAATGTAAGCTGGCGCGTCATGTTACCGACATTTATATTTATGTTGAAGTCTTTTACAGTCTACGTTGATAATTATACGAACTGAAGCGTTCTATATGTCATTTCGGTAAGGTAATGATGAAGGGATCGATGTAAAACTGTCGAAATCCCGGGAATTCATTCTAACGACTGTATAGGACCAACGTCGCCATCTGTGACGTTTAGCTGCAATTAAATCTTTGCATTCGAAAGCTCAATCGTTCATAAAACTTTTATCCGAACTGGGTGTCTCAAATCATTTCATACTTTAAAACGTGCATATGAAGACCTTAAGGTAGGTCCTGAAACTCGCGAAATTTCATTTATTACAAACAATTTTTAAAATACCTATAAACAAATTTGAAAGGAATTGAAATTTCATGAGTTTCAGGACCTTCCTTATAGTCTCCCCGTTCACGTTGTAAAGTTTGAAATTACTCGGTAAATCGAGTTGGGAGAAAAGTTTTATAAATAAAACCTCTCCGAGGCCACTTTCACATCACCTTAAATCCTCTTCTTCTCGGTAACTCTAGGAAATGGGCGGAGCGGGCTCTGGAGGAATTCAAGTACACCGCTGGGAACTTCTACGTGAACGACAAGTCCACTGGGTCTGTGGTGGGCCAACAGCCCTTCGGAGGCAGTCGGATGTCCGGCACCAACGACAAAGCAGGAGGACCCCAATACGCCCTTAGATGGGCTTCGCCGCAGTCCATCAAGGAGAACTTCCTTCCGCTGCGCGAGTTCGACTACGAGTACATGAAGTCCTAAGGACTCTGTAATAACCCATTAGGGACTTAACTCGGTGTCCTGGATACCGAGTCCAACTATCTACGAGACAGGCCACGTGTCGTAAAACGCCACGTCGATAGTCCAATTGGATGTACGCTCCGAGCGCTGTTGTCACTTAAATGCATTTCATCGTGCGAAGAAATGGTAATGGAAAGAACGGAGAGAGAGCTTTGTCTTAAGGTAGAGAGCGCGAGGCAGTATTTGTCTATTATTTCTTTCCCTACTCGCCAGATGTCGCGCGCTAGTTCCTTAGAACGAGCGCCAGACAGTTCGCGAGGAGACGATAGATGGCCTACGGAGCAGGCTCTCGACTCCTTGGAGCACACGAATCTCGATATGTCGCTAAATTTTGTGCTTCGGGACGCACCGGAACTACCGTAGAACAATGTGGGCAATGATATCTTTAACGACAAGTGGGCTCGTATATGCGAAACGATTTATATACGCGCCGGGGTGGAGATTGGTACTGCAGTTACCAAGATTTCCTAGACAATAGTAACGTAAACCGTTAAGTTAAGGCTTTGGTACGGGAGATACCAAGCGCGCGCCTGTTCCTTTGCTTCTGGAAGCGACCGCAAGAGGTCTCGAGGTTCGCTCCGAAGGGCGCCCTCTGGTGACGTTCCACGATATCGATCTCTCTCTTACACGCTGTTTTAATAGTATACCCGGTCTCGATCTAACCGATGGCCGCGAAGGATCCGTGAAATGATACGTGACGGTAGAACCGTCGATGTTGAGCGTTATTCGGTAGTCAGCCATAGCTGTTCAGCTTTCACGTCTCGCGTGACTGTTCCAAATATTCTACGGAGCAGGTAGTTGTGACGACACAGTCGGTAGGCAGTGGCAAAGAATTCAGAAGTCCCATTGAAGCCCAGATCCTATGGTAGCGCTTGATGCTCTAAAAGTTGGTTAACACACCGGAAGTGGGGGGAAAAGGGAGATCGAATGTTAGCCAACGATATCTCACATAAGGGAGGAAGAGAGATGCATGTAGAACGGGAGTATTGGGGGTAAGATAAAGAAAGAATGCAATTCCATGTGTAGCGTCATATGATTAAGAGAGAGGTGGTTACAGCGCCGCCATCCGTTGGCTAACGTACTATTTGTCGAGCATCGAACGTCCGTATCCTGCTGGGCTTCTATGGAAACTTCCTAATTCATTTGGTACTAACAAAGAATTCAGAAGTCCCATAGAAGCCCAGATCCTATGTTAGCGCTTGATGCTCTAAAAGTTGGCTAACAAACCAGAAATAGGGGTAAAAGAGAGGTCGCATATTAGCCTACGATGTCTCACATACGGGAGAAAGAGAGACGCACGTAGAAAGCCAAGTGTTGGGGGTAAGATAAAGAAAGAATGCAATTCGCTATACATCGCCATAAGATTAAGAGAGATGGAGAGGTGATTACAGCGCCGCCATCCGTTGGCTGACGTACTATTTGTCGAGCATCGAGCGTCCATATCCTTCTGAGCTTCTATGGAAACTTCCAAATTCATTTGGTACTACCACAGAATTCAGAAGTCCCATAGAAGCCCAGATCCTATGTTAGCGCTTGATGCTCAAAAAGTTGGCTAACAAACCAGAAATAGGGGTAAAAGAGAGGTCGCATATTAGCCTACGATGTCTCACATACGGGAGAAAGAGAGACGCACGTAGAAAGCCAAGTGTTGGGGTTAAGGTAAAGAAAGAATGCAATTCGCTATGTAGCGTCATAAGATTAAGAGAGAAGTGATTACAGCGCCGCCATCCGTTGGCTAACGTACTATTTGTCGAGCATCGAGCGTCCGTATCCTTCTGGGCTTCTCCGGAGACTTCTGAATTCCTTGACAGTGGTTTCGTCGAATTTGCATAATCATCGAGTCTTGTCAACTGCCCCGCGACTCCACTTTTATAATCGTACTAGAGTCGCCGGTTAACCTGATTTACGATGGCGTGTAACTTGTAAAATTGTGTATAAAGGGTGCGACCATTGTGATGCTCGAGAGTTACCCTGTTATTTATGGCCCAACGGTTCATGAGTGGATCGCTCTGGATTTTTATTATTAATGGAAACGCGGAGGAGGAAGCCTCGCCGGTCTTCCTGGCTCGATATGGATCACCGAACCATTGACGATACCTTAGATACCGTGGCTACTGTTACGATGTAATTTATTTTAATTGTATTATAGCAATAAAATCGTAATTCGACAGAACATGGTGGGAACGGATTGAGGACCCTGGACGTTACTCAAAGAAGGAATCGCTAGTGCAGGAAATTCTTAAGATTAACACATTCGCGACCGGCAAACTTTTTTCCGTTTCAAATACTGAGTACCGGCGAAAATAATGAAATTCTGAAACTGGTTGTCGCAAACTTGTATCGTGTATCGTCATGGACGTAATTCACGTCAGCGGCAATCGGGAAGAGAATGTAAAATGACGTGAATTCACGTCAGCGATCGTGAATGTGTTAAGGTGAAGTGAAACATCCTTCAAATCAGTCGATTCGAATACAACACTTTTTTTTAAGGGTATTAGACCAAACTGTCCGAAACTTTGACACGTCACTCCTGATCATCTAAGAATTGTCCTGACACATTAAAAATTTGGATTTTTCAAACAAATTTTTTAACTCAGTCCAGACAAGAACCAAAATGGCGTCGAGCTCTCATATTTCCATCAATATACAATTATCGAAGGCTCTGATATGAGAATCGAAAGGGTCAGGACAATTTTACGACAATTTAGAACACTCTGGTAATCGATAAACTCGCATTTGAACGGGATAAAGGCAAAAAAAGTGTTGTATGCGCTTCTATGCTAAAACGATGGGAATACGAGGTCTCGGAGTGAAAATTTAATTGACTTGGAAATCACAGATGGCGCAGGGAGTTCCTCTGCAATCAAATAGGGCCCCAGAAAGCATGAATCCAGAGGATTTCTGGAGTTTTACTTCGATTTCTTTATAATTATTGTACGAAAACGACAGGTCGAATATGCCATTTGGTACCATAACCAATATAATTCGACCCAGTTGTCAATATAAAAACGAACGTCGGCAACGTAGGCATTTAGAAAAATCTTCTTTATCGACGTTGATCAAGTTCCTCGACGTGTTTCACTTCACCTTAAAGCCTTCACATTCACATTGTAAGATTTGAAACGGTTCGGCACGCCCAGTTCGGAGAAAAGTTTCACAGACGAGATGATGCTTCTTTCACGTCACCTTAAATGTTTCTTTCTGGTAATTAAATGAGAAGGTAAGTGTACCTGGAAGGTGTCTTGGTTGCTAAGGTCGAAGACTAGAACATACGCCGTGGCGCTTCTCAGCCCGTAATACCGGAAGTCAGCCCATTCCAGGTGAGAGCTGACCGGGAAGTACGGGATCGTCGGTAAATCCGTAATTTTGAGCTCGTAAAGGCGATCGGCTAGGACGACACTCGGGTAAAAGGTTTCTCGTCGATCCGTTGGCCTGTACTGCTCGACGAATTCGCTCCAAACGAATTGCTGAAATTGATATGTGCTGCGCTGAAAGTCTTATAGAAAATTTCCACCGAGTCCTGAGAATTAAATATGACTGCGGTGAAATTTTTTTACGCGTCAAAGATTAATGTCTGTAGGATATAAAAGGGAGGTCGATCGATTTTGATAATCGCAGTGGAATGAACATATCGCGACGATTTTAACTTTTTCTGGGAAATAAGAAAACTAATAACTTGATCGTTTTAATCCATTATAGATATTGAGACGAGAAATTTAAAAAACCTCTCGTGGAATTTTCATCTTCTCTGGTGCTACTGAAATTACTTGAATTTTACGCCCTTATATCACTGCTCGATAACGACAACTCGATAAGCGGAAGCGACGAATCGGAAATCAACGGAAGTCAGGAAATGGATTTCCTCGGATTGGATGGAAATAGCTGGAATTAAGTACACTTTTCAGAGATCTCTCTGAAGCCTGCTCCTATGTTCCAGGCTTGTTATTGCACATCACATAACTATGTATACTTCTCCAAAACACTCGGCATTAAAGAAATATCAATTATTATACATTGTGATTCACCTTTGAGAAATTGGAATTGCTTCGATCTGTGCAAGATGAAGAAAAGATTTCAATGAAGAATAAATGGCATGTATATTATACATCTGTGGGAATAATTGCTCCTTAAGGAAAGTATCTATTTATAAGATCTTGGATTTCGTAATGCTTACTCGAATAATGCTTGATTTTCCGACCCCTGGAGCACCAAGAAATACGACTTTGACTCTATCGAGACTATCCGCGGGGCTTTCTTCTTCCCTGGATCCACTATCAGCATTTTTACTGTAAATAGTGTCACCTCCCCGCTCTTCCAGGCAGTCCAAATCCAATTCTAGGAAAAGAAAGTCGTCAATGTTACGGGGAGCCGGTTTATTTTGTTCTTCACTGTCTAACCCCGGGTTAAATTACTGAAAATCGTTAGAAATTACAAAGACATTGCCACAATTTTAAGGCCAACTTGCTACTTATTTTACTTATCGTGTGATATCAAAGGCAATTCGTTCTTAAAGAAGGAAATCGTTTTCACTGATTTCGAGAGAATAACTTTTCGGGCCGGGGTCAAATGTAACAATTGTTTCGCTTTTATGTCTATGATTTATTATCATGGGTTTTTGCGATTGAAGCTTGGTATATGCGTTAATCAAAACTTCTTCTAGATGATTGTTTACGTTTGGATGCCTTAAAAGTTTATGAAAAATCATGAATTCTATTCTCTGTCCTTAATGTTTTTCTTACAATTGCAATAGATACAGGATACGAGTGTAACACTCGTCGGAGTAAATGTAACGTTGCCGATTAATATAAAAAATTGTCATATTAATTTAAAATCCATCACACATATGACGAACAACTATATATGCAGCGGCATAAATGAATCAGTCTTATCCACCAAAAATTGAGTAAAAACCGAAAATATTGACCTCGTGAAAATATTACATCTGTGCCACTTTAAAAAAAAAATGCCGACAACTATTCAACGCTTGGTATAACGGAGAAAGAATAACCATGAGATATTTATAGTGTCAACAGAAAGCTTTCGCTATCTCAGCTTTTACAAGTTTAAAGAAAAGATTATTACATTTGCTTCAATCATCCCATGTTATATTTGACTCTAGTCCTCGGTACCCTCTAATAACAAACTGAAAGTTCTTAAAAACTTGATTAAAGATAAGAAAAAAAAAATCTCCTTAGGGTGATTTTGCGGTTTCTTGTTACCCAAGAGACTCTTATCGCCGACCAATGGCACGACGGGTAAGGTCCAGCCACTTTCCCTTGGATCCATCTCGGTCCATTGGAAACGTGACTTCCTAACTTACGAATCGAGTCAAAGCATATTCGGAGAGACCCGAAATCGCGGAGGCACGACTAGATTAGTTAGCTACTCCCGGGAATCCCCGAATACGACCGTCTCGGAAGCCAATCGCGCGTTGACTGAGCGGCAAACCGCAGGTGCATTTAGATGCAACCACCACCCGCAAGTGCTCGTCCACCCCATAGCCCCCTCTTTCGTTCCTTCGTTAAAACCTCTTTTCGGTTTTAATTGCATCAGAATTGAAACGCAACAGGCCGCGAAAGAGCCTCTAGGAATATGTCGTACACATGAACCGTTCACAGGCCAAAGTGATTACCTAAACTTTTAGAATGACTTTTTCATTTCCGCATAGCTTTACTCTTCATATTTATCAATTTTCTCCGCCCACTTTTTTTCAAGAGTTAAGGTGAAGTGAAACCCCCCTCAAATCAGTCGATTCAAATAAAACACTTAATCGAAAAAAATATTAAGGGGTGAACCACCCCGAAATATGATTACGTTTATGCAAAAAATGGTCAAATTCAAGTGTAAATATTTGAAAAAAATATATCTTGTGTATGAACACGAAGGAAATACGTGTTTGGATTTTCCCGAAAAAAAAAAATATTGGCCGGGGCAACTACCCCCGAACGCTCACCCCTTAATTTTTTTTTCCTTTTCAATTGAGAAAATTATATTTTTCATGTATCGTTATGAGAAAGCTTTTCCAGATGGATTGGTTAAAAAATATTATGTTCTTGTGGGTGAAACTGCCTAATCGCCCCTTGACGTGCCTTACTTTGGATGGTGGTTTTACCCCCTTAAAGTGTTTAATGGCAGATAAAAAAGGATACGTGTCGCTTAGTTTTTAGTCTGCTATAACATAGTATAAAAGAAATTAAATCGGAGAGATCGACCTGTGATACCTTCCTTGTGAGATTAAGGGCGCTCACCACTCCAGCGATTTTGCAGGGCCTCACGGGGACAACGATTCCGAACGTATTTCTAAACCGATCGAGCTTAACGAGTGCTCATATCGAAGATGAAACGTTGACCTGTGTTTATATGGGAGCGATTTTCGATAAGTGGTCATTATCATATAAAAAAGTGCAACGACATAATTTCAATGCCCTTTTACCTAGGAAGGAGGTGCTCGATCGAAAATCGCTCCCATATAAACACACGTCAACATTTTGTCTTTAAAACGAGCACTCGTTGAGCTCGATCGGTTGAGAAATACGCTCAAAATCGTTGTCCCCGTGGAGCACCTTTTTCAGGATTTTCAAGTTTCTCGCGCGGAATTTGGCAAAGAATTCAGAAGTCCCATAGAAGCCCAGATCCTATGTTAGCGCTTGATGCTCTAAAAGTTGGCTAACAAACCAGAAGTGGGGGTAAAAAAGAGATCGCACGTGTTAGCCAACGATATCTCACGTACGGGAGGAAGAGAGACGCATATAGAAAGGCGAGTATTGGGTGTAAGATAAAGAAAGAATGCAATCGCTATATATCGCCATAAGATTAAGAGAGATGGAGAGATGATTACAGCGCCGCCATCCGTTGGCTAACATACTATTTATCGAGCATCGAACGTCCGTATCCTTCTGGGCTTCTATGGAGACTTCTGAATTCTTTGAATTTGGGCATTCCTTAGCAACCGTTGCCGACTCTAGGCGGAGCGTCCAACTTGCGTGTGCGTGCGGCCGAGGGTCACGCACGTTTCGGCGCCTAGTCCAGAGGCGTCTAGCCGTTGTGTGAGTTGTATACGTGCAAAATACACACACATTTTTCGCCCGTTGCTAAACACTGCCCATTATGCGTCGCGTCTCCCTCATCCGAGCGAGAAAGTACGTTTTGGTTACCTCCCACCGAATTCGATGCTAATGCCATCTAGCGGTGGAAGTCATCGTCCCCACTTGGTGGTGAAGCCGATTAAGAGAAATCAAAAAGGTAGCTAGTTCAGGGAAGGGGAACTCCTCGAGGGAGCTCTCGAGGGCAATCGTCGCGGGGGGCCAATTGCGCGTTTACCGACCCTAGAACGCGACAAAGCGCGGCTCTTTCCAGATCGAACTCTTCGATATCTCCGGCCATTCATGTCTGACACGTTCCGTGCTTCGCTACTTCCCACTACGAGCTGCTGTATAGTAAAGAAGCAATTTCCTCGGTCAACGAACGATCCATCCGCTCCAGATATTCAAATATCTCAACATCCGATATCCCTCCGCACTTAATATCCAGAAAGACCGATAAACTTTAATATCGATAATACGACAAAACGTAAAAGAAAATCCGAGCGTGCTCGTAAAGCCAAGTGAAGCTTCTAAGCTGAAGGGAATTTCTTATTAATTATTCTTAATGAATAAAAATTCATTTACGAAGTGCTCTTAGGTCTTCGATGAAGATGAATATAAATAGCGATTAACCGTATAAAAGAATTTCAATGTCCATTTCGTCAAGGCAGAAACACAGCCGGTAATTCACTCTTCTTAGGCGGCAAATTAAAATGAAATAATAGGAAGGTTTATGCAAATTGTTTAATGTACTAACGCGCAAAGATTATTGTAAATAGTAATTAACTGTAAGGAAATAACAGTTTTTTTTTTTTAATTTTTTAACCGCCCTTTTCTTAGTGTGCGTACTTTGCACGTAATTCCGTGGCATGAAAAGTTTCCTAACAAAAGCGACATAAATGTAATTAAATAATTGTTAAAAAGATGGAGCGGAACTGTTGACTTACGACATTGTCTTTGCGGCGGAAGGCTTTGCCTCCTTCTGCCGCTCGCCGTTTTCGTCCCTATGGTTGCAAACTGTTCGCAGCTAGTCCTAGATAAATTCTCGTTGTTATTACTTTCTTTACTTTTTATGGCACCCGCGTTTACACGAATCTTCGCTCGGCGGTTTCTCGACGTTCGATGTCAATAGAGACCACTTATTCTCGGTGCAACAAGCGCAAAGTTATACCCCACTTGCCAAGCGATTTGAGTCAGCGTATCGTATTCGAGTAATTTCTCGATTGGTTAATTAATTAATATCCTGTGGTCTCAAAGTGGCACGATCCCGAAATACAGCGATCAATGCCGCGCACTTAAATATACTTTAGACATTGATTTTCTTCTCCCAAGGGGACTTATTGCCGTATTATAATGCACGTACGAATTTTATATACAGTAGCTAGGTTTTGTACGGTAGCTATATGTTTCCTATTGTGATAAACTGATTATAAACGTGCAGGGTCACGTTGGTTTCTCTTTTTCTTTTCTCCACGGGGTTATTTGTTTCCTCTTAATTCTTGTAGATCAGAAGCACACAGCTAGCACCGTGGTTTTTTCTTCTCTTGTTTTTCTCGGGAAATTTCTGCCGGTCGGAAACTTCAGCTCGCTGCCGGGTAGTTTCACCCTCCGAACTCGATATTAAATGTTGGAGATGTCCCGGACAGGTTTTCCGATAGTTCGGACTTTCTTGGCGCGTTTCTTTTTTCCACCTCCCCGCGTTTTGTTTCAGCCGACTCGTCGGCTCGAATTTTTATTAGTTTTTATCATTAATTCTTTGTCGGGAGGAAATCGGCTGACTTTGTCGAAATACTTTAACTGGATCACGTTTCTTCTCGATCGAGATTTCTCGGAGTTCTTCTACGCCGGACTTCCTTGGCACAGTTTCTGATTGTTGAAGCTGCTTTGGCACGTTTTACTCGACAGCTGCTTATCAGCTGTTCGAGAGGTGTGATATCTTATTTACAAGTTGTTAACAAAAAAAGTCGAATAGCCGATCAGAAATTCCAACATGTCGCTGGACACTTGGCCCTTCCCGACATCGTTAATATGAACAATGCTTAAATATTAATTATCACGCATTAATTCGCCCGAAGTCGCCTTTTATCGTCTACACGTTTCTCAAGTGTAATTCTATTTACAGATTTTCCTTCGGGAAAAACACGGCTTTGTGACGATATATAAAAAGTTGTCCTTGATCGACTGTTCTTTTATAAAATTACTAGTGTTCTATTTTATTTCACTCTTAATTACATATATCTATATATACTTCTGTAGTATAGATCCGTAACGAGTTTAAACACTTTTCATCAACTGGCAACGTTATCACCGTAATTTACAAATCTGGAAACTCGGTAGAGTTTCGAGCCAAATACATTTGAGCGAGAGACTCTTTTTAACTTGACGAGTATTCCTCGACTTAGTTGAATACTCTAACCGATGATTGTGCGATTAACTATTCCTTCCATCGACTAACAAATGGTATTGCTCATCGCTTAACGTCTTAACGAGACAATTAATTTTCCGTCTTGAGTATTGCTTACGATGATTCGTATTTTTCAAATCATGAAATTCCTCCTCCCTTTCTTATTTCTTCGCCTCTTGATTTCCGATTCTCGGCACAAAATCCATTCGAAATATCGATATTTCGACGGCCCTTTAGAATCTCCAGGGTTTCTCAAAGGTAAAACGAAGTACGAATTCCTATAATCTCCAAAATAACTCAGAAGTCATAGCATTAGATCGTGGAGGTTCATTTTCGAAAATTCTCCTTTGGTCGTTCCGATATCGCAACTTCCCCTTTCCAGAGGGATTCTTAATGAAATTACAAATGAAGGCCTTGCAAAAAAAGCTCCTCGGCGAAATAGTAAAATCGCAAAAATAGCAAAGAATCTTCTCGTCAGAGAAAAAAATATGGCAGCGAGGAAAGGACCTTCCCCCTTCTAGGAAAGGATACGGGAATCGCTTGATTTTTCATCTTCCACGGAAATTCGTGCACTCCCGGTCTCGTGATCCAATCTACACTTTCGGTATCTTTAATCTCCTCCTTCGGCGACGATGAAATTTCCTCCCGTCACGTTCTCCCCAAAGTGCATCCAAGTCCCACGGTTTTTCCTCATATTCCTCATTTCCTTAGCTGCATGTTTCACGATAAATCCCACACTACCGATCTTTATAACTCATTCCCAATCTGGGGTTCTTTCAATTTCTTCCCTCCCGAGGACAGTATTTCTTCCTTCCTCTTCGAGTCACTCGGTTATCCGATCAAGTAATCCCCGTGAGATGAAGATTTCTTAACGGCAGTTTAAAAGACTGCCGTTTTCGTATCGCACATTTCCGCCGAAATCGAGCCCTCCAGATTTCCGTGATTTAACGATTTATTGTCGAGTTGCGAGGCACCTGGAGGCGTGAAACTCGCGGGAGTAATCGTGCTTGGACCCACGTCGAGTCGAGAGGTCAACTTTCAGTCATGAAATGAGGATTTGGCGGAAATAAAGTAAAGGGTCGTCCCTCTAAAACGTATATAACTGGGCTTGAGCCAACACTTGGCCGCGCTCGGCCCTAGATACCCCCAGTCGATCGAAACTCCCCTCGAAAGAGAATCGGAAAAGCGCAGGCGCCCTGCTTACCGCGCCAATTCGTTTACAGTTTTTATCACCTAGGGAATTAGATCGTGAATAACCGCCGCAATTATTACTCCTTAAAAAGATCCGATTTCCCATTATTCCAGTATCTTTTTAACAGAATATATTAACTGAAAAACTTGCTCGCTTCGGATAGAAATCTCTTGTTCGACAACTCTATTGCTTTTTATACCCCTTCCGTTGACTGGGATATTTTATAAACTTTTTGTGTAGTTGTGTCGGAACGTCGATCATTAAGGGTGGACACCACCGATAGTACTTAAAATGCGAAAAATATTAAAGTGAATCGAATAGCTCAGGTCAGGATCGGCTAACATGAAAAATAATTATTTAATCGTAGGTATAATGAGGTTTATTTCGATCTTATCGATGTATTTAGAAATATTTGTATACAATATCCTAGAGATAACAGGAGCAATACTCCAACAGCTTAGGAGATTCGGGATCAAATCAACATATCATGCAGACGTCCTGCACTGTGCGAGTACACATTTTCATATAAGACATCATAATCGCTTTTCTCAATTATTGAGATTACTTTGGACTCTATTATCGCAGATAGATAGATATATTAAATAGTTAAGAAAAAAATTAATGTTAATTAATACTCTAGCGACCGTATATTTCGCTTGTTTCGTCATTTTCTCACGTTTCTCGTTAAGTTAAATTGACCAGTCATGGAAAAATTACTTGGTGATGGCGACACCAATGGCAAAGCCTGCTAAGAATGAACCCAGAAATACATGAAATTCCTTAACGGTACATTCAGGACGTCCTACCACTGAATTGTACCAGCGTCGAGTACTAGACTCGCCTTCCTTTAGCAATTTCTCAGCTTTGTTGCATTTGTTGTCCACGTATCTTTCGACCTGGAACAATGTCAATGTCTAAGCATTAGCAGATTCGTGAGACATGCGAAATAAAAAAATTGTATTTCACATTCTCGGTTTGTTCATTTTCTATGTTGCCAAAGTCCAATTTGAAAACACGACAATAATAAAACGATGAAATTGGTTACGGAGAAGTTCATGAGCTCGTCACGCAAGCTTCGAACCCAAATTACCTATGATTTCTCAGAGATAGAATCAGCAAGGGTATGTCAGTTGATTTTTCTTAGAATTATTCTTCCGATAAGCTATTTGGGGGATATACTTATGCAACATTTTCATTCCATAAATGAACAAATTGTATGAATCATACATGTATATATTATATTTGCAAAAAGGAATGTTTCCACACAATGACTTCCTAATATACATTTGATAATTCTACATGGCCGAGAATATCACAAGAAAGGTCCAAAGCTTGCGAAATGGACATGGAAATCTTTTACGTTGTACGTTGCGAATAATTTGCAGCTGGAGTACGAACATGCATAACAATTTATTCTATATAGTCTCTAGTCTTCGCTCAATATATGTAGATTTCCTTGTGACTCATGAGGCTAGACCGAGAATGAAACCACCGATGAAACTTGTTGCCAGGAATGAGTTGTGTCTCCACAATTGCTGTACCTGGAAAAATAAGAGTATAACATTTTAACGATACATGCAGGCACACGACCTCATATAAGTACGGTGACATGATTAATCTTTGTAATGGAATCTGATAGTGCTCCAGAACAAATACGATGAAACAGCATTTTAAAAATAATGATTCTTTTAGAAAATATGCCAAAAGGTATTTAAAAAAGTTTTTCTGCGCTGCAAAAAGACGAAACAATAAATCTTAATTGCAACCATTGCTTATTACTGGTGGACATAAAATAGTAGGGATTTGCCCCACCCATAAAGACAGGGTTACATCAGTGAAGATTATGTACTACTTAGAAAACACAACATTTTTTACTTGAGTTATAATCATTAGCTATTGCTGAGTGTTTTCAAGGTTAAGTTCAAGTAATCACTCAAGGTATCACTAATATTACCTTGTCCAGAAATTTGGGTCCCTCGCCAGTAACTTTTTCTTCAACTTTGTCAGAGATCTTTTCAGCTTTTCTTCTAATCTTATCCCAATTGATCTTGATATACCCTTGATGCGCTGCAATTTGAAGAATAATGATTCCACCTCCCAATGCGAATGCTGCCAGTTTGCCAACTTTCATCATTATATAGCCTGTCATCCTAATAATCACAGATCAAAAAGAACTAATGAACATTAAAGTAATCACGTGTAATACTTAAAACTCGCTTAGATGACACATCATCTCACTTGCAATAACATTATACACATACCATCCTGACGATGTGCCAATAGCTATTTGTTTCATGGCAGATGTTTTACCTACATCTCCTAGGATTTTTTCTATGTACGATTTCGCCTCTTCAGGGATATCGTACATATCATCCCCGGCATCATTTGCATTCCTTTTAATAACAGGCATTATTCTTCTTTTCTAAAAGTTGAATTAATGTATTAAGCATAAAATCATAAAAATACCTCACGATCCATTTAAAGCAAACCAGAAAACAGTACAATCATAGCTATTCATTCACGGCTAAATACACACCCTTTTCAATGAATAAATTATTCTTATGTTGTATATGTGGAAGCACGATTAGTCTACAACATGATGCGAAATAAGTTTTACGTCATACAAAAAAGATCACTTTATTCCTTTGTTCATTAATTCCATTCGAATGTATCAGGAATTTCAAAACGGTAACGGAATAGATGGAAAAATTATTAATTCAAGGTTTAGTAAAGAAAACATATTTACATTAAAACGACGCCACTTCCGCCAAACTTTACTGCTCCACGCCGACAACGATGTCGGCTCACCTGGTTTCCACTTTGGTCTCTTCGTAATTTCGCAGAACTGTAAGCTTGACGGATACCACACGTAACGTCTGGCTACGGCTGACAGTGTAAGTATATAACAGTGTAAGTATATAGGTATGCATGCATATATATATGTAGTATGTAAGTCACGGGTTTAATATACAAATGATTCACAGCTTGACGTACTTTTTCTGGAGGTCGATTCTGTAACTAGAATCTAGTGAGATTTCTAAAAGTGAACATCTCCCGCGATTCCGTAACATACACTGTGGTAAATATGTGAGATACTTCGTGTGTCAACCGAACCGTTTTCATTGGTGGAAATAGTTAACCTCAACAGTTATTGGTCGATACATGGAAATAAAAGAGACATAAAGAGAGAGATGATTGACTGACAAACCGCCCAATAATTTGCATCCAAGGCGTTTCGAGCGGTTGTAATTTGCGGGTTGAGCTGTATATTTATTATTTTACCTGTAGTAGTTTATGGTTCAGTGTGAGTAGTTGCAATCAGGTGCAATTTAGATATTTTCTAATTTTTGATTACTAATTTGACATCTATAAAACGTGCTTGGAATAATTCTAACAAGTGAAGGGAAATTAAATTTGTAGGGCCACAATGATTCCGTCTTGCCGATATTTGTTACATCTATGTAATGTGTTAAGCAGCGATGACAATAACAGTTACCATTAACCTGTTAAGAATAAATATGTCAGCATGTCATCGATGACAGTATTTATTACCCAAGAAGGGCCAGCAAATGCTTTGGCACTCAATAAAGACAATAGCCAAGTAGTCATAGCTGGTCGTAATGGTATGTATTTATTATAATTTTGTATATTCATATTATTTTCATAAATAATGCATACGCACTTGTTTGAAATTGTACCATTAAACGTTTTCAATTAGTGCGTATACATTTAATTTTTTAGAAGTTCTAAAAATGATGCTGATTTGTTAAGACGTTAATCATTTTAAAACGTCACATAAAATTCATTTTTTATTTCAGTATTTAAAATATTTACATTATTGGAGGACAGATTTGAAGAAGTATGTAACTTAAGGGTAGGGAAGAACTTGAACTTGAATTTTTCGTGCAATGATGTAGCATGGAATCTAATTGATGGTAAGATTTTTAATAAACGTTTAATATAATTGATTGACTGCCTAGTTATAATATTAATCAATAATTCAAATAACATTTTTAGATCACATATTAGCCACTGCAGCTACTAATGGTGCAGTAGTAGTTTGGAACTTGAATCGGCCGTCGCGTTCAAAACAGGAACATGTTTTTGTGGATCATAAAAGAACTGTCAATAAAGTCAGTTTTCATATAACAGAATCCATGTGGCTTATATCTGGATCTCAAGATGGTACAATGAAATGTTTCGATCTCAGGATAAAAGAAGCAACTAAAACTTTTTATAGGTAAAGGAAGAGTATTGTTAGTCACTACAGAAAGGTGTTCCAGTGATATCACAGTAATAATTTTTGAAATCTCAGTAATACGGAATCTGTACGAGATGTGCAATTTTCACCACATCAACAACATACTTTTGCTGCAGTCTCTGAAAACGGTCATGTTCAACAATGGGATTTACGTCGTCCAGACCGTTATTTTCAACACTTTACTGCCCACAGTGGGCCTATCTTTGCTTGCGATTGGCATCCAGAAGCTACTTGGCTGGCAACTGCATCAAGAGACAAAACTATCAAGGTACTCACAAATATACTTTCAAATTAAAAAATCTAGTCATTACTTTCCATCACATTCTGTCCAGTTCTACGATTAAAAATACAGTAGTATCCATTTAACAATATTTTCCATTTAAAGGTGTGGGATTTGTCGGGAAAGCCATCGTGTGAATATACTATTCATACAATAGCCTCGGTTGGACGAATTAAGTGGAGACCTCAAAGAAAATACCATATTGCTAGTTGTGCTCTTGTTGTTGATTGTAGTATAAATGTATGGGACATTAGAAGGCCGTACATACCATTTGCAAGTTTTAACGAACACAAAGACGTTCCAACTGGAGTCGCTTGGAGGGGTGATCCTCAATCTTTTTTATCTACTAGCAGGGTAAAATTTTTAGAATTTTAAGCTTGGTCAATGCCATGTATTTTGCATTTTGAATGTACTTTACTTGATTTACATTTTACAGGATTGCACGTTGTATCACCATGTATTTAAAGATGCAGTTAGACCTGCAAGTAAAGCAAATCCTCAAGGCATTGCGTTGAATACAAAAGGCGATATTGCATATGCATGTAAAGTTAATGTCAATGCACCGACTACAATGAAACAGTTATCCAACATTATGAGGTAATTGTAAATTAGATATAAGGTGTGATCTACTTAACACACTTCGGCATCATAATAGCGATGCTAATTTTTATACTTTTACATTAAATTATTATAGGAAGGTTCCTGCGAGCAATGATACATTTTGCATGGCATCCAGTATGATGCACAGATTCACAATGAGTAATCCATGTGAATCTCAGTGGTTTAGAGTATGTGCAGAGGGTTATCAACTTAGTGGAAGATTGAATGAAATCTGTGATCATAATGCAGTAGTAGCTAGCAATGCAGGTCGGAATGATGTAAGTTAATATTATTTACGTAAAATTAATTTTAACTAACAACTTTGTTAAATTAACACTATTTCAACATTATCACATTTCAGATAAGTACGGTGTGGAATATTACAAAGACATTGTATGCAAATCCAATGGGCAGTATTTTGAAAACACTATCAGCTATATCTAAAGATGAAGGAGCAAATGCATTAAGTTTAGCACAAATTACTTTAGGAGCAACAATGGATCAACCTAATACAGGTTGGTTTAAAATAAAATTTGATGCAAGTACTGGTATTGTATACTAGATAAAATTAATAAAAACGTATACATTCTTTTAAGGTTTGGAAAGTGACGTCAAATCTTTACAAGGCGAAACACCAGGTATCATTAGTGGGGGCGATGACGAGACTGAAACGGATGAAACACCAGATAATCAAAACTGCATAGGATCGGCATTACCAGGGTAATTTTTTTAATATTACTTAGAAATTCTTTTACTTAATTACGTCTTTTATTCGATCGCAATATCTCTACTAGAAATGAAATGTTTATCTTCATTCTCGTAAGAAAAGATTTTTTCTTTAATTTTTTGTGGTGCACTGTTAGTGTAATATAAATTACATTAAATTTCAATTACATATTTTTAAAGTGGTTACAGGCGACCTTTCGTTGGCAGTAAACGGCAACCAAAAGGTGACTTTTTCTTTGGTGAAGGAGAGCTGGAACCTATTACTATGGAGTATAATGGCAGTTACATGCGTAATATTATAAATAGTGAAAATGATTGGACGTTATCCAAAGAAGCTTTTCCTTTACGCCACGAAATACAGGATAGATCTCCACCCCCAGAACAATTTCCTAACCATTCACCAGACATTAATAACGATGATTCTGGTTCGGTAATGCTTGAAGATCAACCTTGTCAATTGGTAGTTACATCTATCCCAAAACCTTCGTTTTGGGATCCCACTCAAATAATAGAGGAAGCTTTGAAACATCATGCAAGTATACGGGATATACAGACATCGGTTTCCATTTTAATTGCCCTCGGAGAAAGGAGGAATAATTTAAATATTGAAATGGCAATACAAGAACATTGGTTATTAGAGTACTTAGACATGCTGGGAAGGTTTAAGTTATGGGAAGTTGCTAGTCAGGTGAGGTCTGATTGAAATGTTTAGTCGATGAATATGTATATTTCAAGTTCGTATGTCTAAGACCTTTATGTGTAAGTTATTTAATGCTTACCTTTACAGATTATTCAGTTAGCGTGGATTCCTTCCATATCACAGTTAAATCAACAGTCTACAACAGTTCACGCTTCTTGCACTTGTTGCACGAAACCTTTGCAGAGATCTGCTTGGCTGTGCGATCGATGTCATACATCTAGACATGCTCTTTGTTCAGTTTGTCACCAGGTAAGTTATACAAACGAATGTCTCAATGAACGACGGTGCATTTAATGAATTTGCTTTTTGAAGGTCGTTCACGGAGTATATGTATGGTGCCAGGGTTGTATGCATGGAGGACATGTCATGCATATGAGTGAGTGGTTTCATATCAATCGACAATGTCCAACAGGCTGTGGACATGCTTGCGAGTACACATAAGAAACCCTTCTTGTTGATAGTAAATACAGTACAGTGTATCATATATTTCATGATCTTCATGTAAGATCTTTGGACAAGCTTTAACAATTTGCAACGTTTAGATAATGATAATATAGAAATAATTTTTATGATTGTGTAAATTTGTTTAATTACCTGCTTTGACTAGTCAATTTTTTGTTTCTTAGTCAGATATAAATAACGATCTTTTTATTTTTGAACTCCATTAAGTCTGTTGGTAGAGTGGTGCCTATTTTTTATTGGATACATTATATGGGAATTAACTGTAACTAGAAGCCCTTTATTGGAAATAAGTTTGAGGACAAGTAATATTAGTCATTAACAAAGTCAACGTTTTCTTATCAAATTGTTTTAATCTTGAACTATACATTGCAAACAAGCGTATGAAATTGCATACCAAAAGCTGCTTTCAATTATTAATTGTATTCGCATATTTAAAATACGAAATTGATCATGGATATTTACACAATCTAATCAATGCATTCTCTAATATTTACATCAATTGAATACTCAATTTTTTATTATTTCTAAGGTTGGTGAAATGTTTGATATACGTGAAATATTATTTGATTTGTTTACTGGGTTATCTCGGATATCTAATATTTTTAAATCATGTCGTTTTACGACGTCTATTATTTCATCAACACTTAACAAATCATTATTTTGCAGAGATAGATATTCCAATTTTTTCAAAGTTGGGAATGATTTTAAAGTCTTAATGTCATTGTTTGACAAAGACAGTTTTCTGCAATTCTGTAAAGTTTGCAAACGATATAATGAATTCCCTAACTTATTTGAATTAAGATTCACTTCTTCCAAAAAGCTACAATATTGTTCATTATAAAACATTGTCAGATCCAGTCCTGAAAAATCTATTTTTGATTCCACTTCTATGTCTGTCCCTCTTATCAAGTGATGCAGGACAAAATCCAGTGCATATCTGCTGCCTAAAAAGAAGTTGACCAATTATATATAAAAGCAATTTCTATATAAAATTCCTGCAAACTTTGAATGGTAGTCAAATCATACTACTTACGTAGGTCATTGAAATAGTTAGAACGAAGTTTGTCAATCTTTGATAAGGCACTGATGTCATTTAGTATGTTTTGATGATAGGCAATAGGGTCTATATTTTTCATAAGAAATATCCTAGTAAGTAGTGCCCATTTATTATTTGGTTCCATCTCACTCAGTTGTTTGTAATTGTCTAATTGCTCTTTAAACTGTGAATTATCTTTAATTATACGTAAACCTGTACTTTCTGCTATCCATGTTTGTACTTGATTTGATGGTCTGAAAGAATAACTGGTTCCTTCGAAATGGAACTGAATCATGTCCACATTGCGAAAGATGCTTAATGGTTCTGAAAAAGTTGCAGACCACAACTTTGAAAACTTTTTATCGCCATAAGATTTCCATATCAGAGGAATTTTATTGTCCTGGATTTTTAGAAATGTTGTCATTGGATCAATTGAAACTTCTTTATGAAATACTGCAGTAATTTCGGAGTTAGTAATTTGTGCTCTCCAAAATGCACAAGTTGATACATTGTGGTAGTCTAAGAGCCACCGTTGATAAAACCAAGCACTTGAATCATTTGGATCAGTAAATGTTGCATTCATTACAAGGTCAAGTTCTGTGAATACAAAATATGAAGAATGCAATAATGTCGCAAGTAAGTTGCATATGTTTTTAATGAATCATTACCTTCTTTATGTTTTTCAATTTGGATTGGTAATTCTCCTGATTCATCAGGGAACATTTTTGATAATATTTTACTTCTATAGTGCCATGATGAATAATTTGAAAAATTGTTCAATATCTTAGCTGTAGAAAATTCAAATTCTTCTGCATCGGGTACTCCAGCCTTTGTAACTAAGTATTGCCTGTAGTTCCAACAATGAACTATGGGTGGTGAAAGTAATTGTAAATTTTAATTTAATTCAGTCACATATAAAACAAGTACTTACAATTTCTGTCATCCATATTGAGATATTTTGTACACAGTGCCAATTCAGCTTTCCAATTGATATCAGGTAAGTGATCAATCACCCAATGTCTATGATGCCATGCACTGTAAGACTTTGGATTTTCTCGTAAACAATTTTCAGTCAATGTTAATTCCTTCAGTAATCTTTCTTGATATATATCTTTTGACCTACAAATTAAATAGAAATTCCAATCTTTACAGAGTAATTTGATTAAAATAACACTTCAAAATATAAATTACTCGTGTTTCTTAATTACCAATTGTTTGCATTAAATGCTTGACGTCGAATGTTCCACAACGTATAAATATCGGGATTTTTTAAACACATTTTTTCCGTAATTAGGAACAATTCATCATCCCATACATTCTCTTTTCTCTAATACAGAAACAGGATTATTATTCGTTTAGTGGTTATCGATATGATCTTTACATTAATATCATATATTCTTTTTTCTTACTTTTTGAAAAACTATACTAATCGCAGCTTTGTACTCGGCAACCTTCTTGGCTCTCTCGACTTTCTTTATCGCTTCCTGTTCAGCCGTGGTGCGGACTCTAACGCGGCCGTGCTAAAATAAATAAATAATTTTCTTAGCTAACAACAAAATATAGAATGCTTCGTCATTCTTCCCTCATTTTAACATATTCACCATATTCTTTTTTTGAAGCTTTTGATGATCGATCAAAATAGCGACTCGGTGATAGGTTGTGTGTCACAATGTCACAAAACCGATTCTTCTTTTTCTTTGTGTGTTGGATTTCGGCCCAATAATTTGGACCCAATACCAGACACAAAACCGATTAATATGACGTTAGAATTTTATCAGGTTGAGCAGCACTGAAACATATAGTAGCTTAACCCTGATTCAGACAGGCTCGCTGCTGGCAGCAATCTGCACAATTTGCAGGAATCCAAAAACTCTGACAGCAACCAATGATCGAAGCGTATTTTTCATGGCATAGATAATTCCCATCGTTCATTGGTTGCTGCTCGCTGCTAGCTGCTAGCGCTACCTATTGGAACTAAGCTGAACTAGGCTTTAAGTGTACACGGTAAATTTGTTCCGAAGAGAGATCGATTTGGTTGAATTTGCATCCTTGTCGCACCAAGTTGAGTACGCATTTGTGCAAGGAAGATGGAATGATAGATGAATTCCATCACTGATCCTCTTTCAGATTGCCGATGCGTGCGCACCGTTTGTACAGTCTGGAGGAAAAGTTTAGTATCATTCACAGTAGGTATCGTGAGATACCCTTAGCCATAAATGAAATACCCTTAGATCATAATATCTAGACCTCGCATAGCAGTGGAAGGAGTAAACTCGAATACTATGTACATGGACCACGTGTGCCGACGGCACTTGGACCAATCAGATTTTAGACATATATTTATGTAGACCGCCTTGCAGTGGAAGGGGTACGAATGCTACGTGTCCCGACAACTTACCCACACAGTTAAATCCATACTGCTTACTAAAAATCTGGCAATGGGAGGTCAATCGAGGTCTAGATATATATGTTCTAAGCGTCAAAAATGTGGTTAATTTCTGAGCCACCAGATGGCAGCACAGGTTCAGATTGTTTTCTCTTTGTTGCACAGTTGAACTTGTAGAAATCTGTGTATCTTTTATCAGCTTGACTCTTATATTTCTCACTTTCTTATTCGCAGAACGATTTATGAAGTTGCTTTGGCACTGTTATATGCGAAATTTCACTGTGATTACCTCCTAAGACCATACGTAATTAAAACGACTTAAAATGGCCGCTATCCCCTCTTCGGTAGTTCTCTCTGGTTATTTTCTGTAACATATTGCACATCATGCTCTCACTTTGCACAGGTCCCTTATTGGTATGTACAGTAATGTATCATGAAAAACATTCTTAAAAATACTTTCGTCGATGGTCAAAGACAGGGAAAAAGGACACGAGCGCGGAAAATTCATTTTCCGATAGTTGTAACGAACGTTAGAAGAACGACTATTCGACATCTTATTTTGAATCTTTTTATGTTTAAGATACGTACTATAGACGTGAACCCCTTCCAATTATTACTCATACCTTTTCAGGAGTAGACCGTCGACATGTGTCCATTAAAGGCTCATGTTTTGATCCTCACGTAGAAAGTTGACTGAAACTGAATTTTAAACTTTTGTTACGTCCTGATTACACGGCTTTTTTTTTTCCGGTAAAAAGTTACGAGGTCGAGTTTGAGCGATTCGCCTTGAAAGCCTGGCATTGGTGAACACGAGTACATACTCGGAGAACCCGTGAAATTAAATATCGAGTGCAAATAAATTTTAACGCGAACGCCGAGGGTCAGGCTGTATTGTTAAAGCACTCGTAAAATATTAATCGATCGGCAAATATGATCATCTAATCCCTTTTCTATAAGACTTTGAAGGTCCTTGTACTTTCGTTGACCTATAAATACTCTATAAATGTCTGTTGAATATTCATTATATTACAGGATCGCAGTAAATCTTTTTATGGACAGAAACTTAATATCTAGGAAAAAAATATTCACTCAATGCCGCGCACATGGAAATACAGGTTTAAGGATACACTAGTGCGATGTACTGATATTCTTTCTCAAATAGCTGTCACCTTTCAAAGTTATTTAATTTTATTAAACCTTATTTAAAAATTCGTTTCCCGTGTTAGAATCCTTCATCCTTTTCATAAGGTCAACGTAATAACCTGTCTGAAAATCTAACGAAAGTTGCACATCCTCAATGTGCAAGCAACATTGCGTTTCGACACTGCTTTTCATAACATTCAGGAAACACGTTGAAACTTTCCCAGATACCAACCAGATTGAATCGACACCGTCGTTTACGATTTCCGCAAGGTTTCCTTTGTTGCTCGAGGTGTTGCTCAATTGTCCTGACCCTTTCGTTTCTCATATTAGAGCCTTCAATAATTGGATATCGATCGAAATGTGAGAGCTCTACGCCATTTTGATTCTGGTCTGGGCTAAGTTACAAAATTGGTTTCAGAAATCCAAATTTTCAACGTGTCAGGATAATTCTTAGGTGCTCACGAGTCATGAGTCAAAGTTTCAGACAGTTCTATCCAGTACCCTTAAAAAAAGTTTTTATTCGAATCGGCTGATTTGAGGGGGGTTTCACTTCACCTTAAGAGCCATACCTCCACGAGCCCACCTCGGCTACGGTGCAGAATTCTGAAATAAAAACGGTGTAAAGAAGAAAAGGGAATTCACCATCAGGAGTGAGAGGCGGTAATCTCGGGGGTGGGGGACTCCCGATGACACTTCGCTTCACGAGGAGCTGGTGAACGTCGGTGGGATGAACTCGAATGTGCAGGTATAGGTGTACACTGGGAGACATCAATGCCCTCCCATCCTGCACAGGCGATGTCGTATCTACAGGGGAGGCATTCGTGTCCGCCACTGTATACCAGCGTTACCTGCCTGCAGGTGGGGTAAGTACGAGTCTCCTCAGTCCACCTGAAGATGATGTCGCCGGTGGAGGGAGTAATTTAGGTTACTTGTAGCACCAGGGAATGTGGGCCGACTATATACCGGCTCATCAGGATCGGCGGACAATTCATTCCTTCCCTGTATTCGTCGTTCGTTGGATCTCTGGGCAGCTTCCTTTTCCTAACGACCCTTCGCCGACCCTAGCATCGCATTCGGTAAGTCATCAAAGCGAAGAGCACCGCAGATAGTCATTTTCTTATCATCCTGACGCAAGGTAGAGACAAGAAGATCCGGGTGACAAAAAGTCGGGTCGTCGAGAGAACGCGACGTTTACGTTTCGGGAATCCCCGATTAGGAGCGACTTCCGGGTCGCTGGAAGTATGTTCGCCGACCCTAGAGTAGCATTCGGTAAGTCATCAAAGACCAGAGCACCGCAGATAGTCATTTTTTTATCATCCGGACGCAAGGTAGAGTCAAGAAGATCCGGGTGACAAAAAATCGGGTCGTCGAGAGAACGCGACGTTTACGTTTCGGGAATCCCCGATTAGGAGCGACTTCCGGGTCGCTGGAAGTATGTCCCCAAGACTTTCTTTGAAATGTGATAATTATGCCTATTTGTAAGAAACTCCTTCTTGTCGGAGCAGAGCTATATCGAGGCCATGATTTGGAGACACCCTCGAGCATAAGTATTCACACGTTTCGTGACTTCTTTGTATTTCATTTCTTTTCCCTTAAGGTCTTGAAGCTTCCGTGGTTGTTGTTCCGTAGATACGAATTGGCTTCCGGATTCTTGCCTGGCAAGAGAATAGACTCATATATGGTTCTTTCTTCTTTACGATGAAGACAGTGATCCCGCGATGCAATTGAAGCTAAAAGTAGGATCGTCGAATCAGTCGAGATTTCTTCCTTTTTATTTCATTACGAGGAGATTATCTTCACTATTTATTATTCTATTACATAATGATACGATCGTACAGATGTCTTTTATATTTTTATTTTAATATACTTAACGACTTGGAAAACGATACAACATACTTTGATACATTAGATTGCGTACACTTTTTAGCTTGAATGGGTACTTCGAAGAGAGGCTTAGTTTCTTTGGATAGTCCAGCCAAAATGTCGAGGTATTTGCATGTCGAAGTATGGGGTGGCCAGGGTGAATCATTTTTTTTTATGTGTCGTCCCGATACCTTGCCAAAGGGGACGATCTCGATCGCATCGTCAGGAAGACTAACGGGAGGAAGCGATACTCGAGGTCAGTGGGACGAGTCTGGGACGAATTTAAGCGAAATCTTTCCACACGGTGTAGCTTCAACATCGAACGGTTATATGCACCGAGAAACCAGTTTTCTGCAGCCTACGTGCAAATGCAGATGCATCCGTCCTCTTAGGGTGCCCCCTTTTGTCTCCAGGAAAGGTCCTTCTTTCGAAAAAGGATCTTTGCGTTGGAAATTCCCGGAGAAAATATAAGAAACAGATATCGGCACCCTACGAGTTGTCCGCCACATCATGTTCTCGCTTGAGACGCTATAACAGGATTTAAAGTGAAGTGAAACCCCCTCAAATCATTCGATTCGAATAACACTTTTTTTTTTTAAGGGCATTGGATCGAACTGTCAGAAAACTTTGACACATGACTCGTGAGCACCTAGGAATTATCCCGACACGTTCAAAATTTGGATTTCTGAAACCAATTTTTTAACCTAGCCCAGACCAGAATCAAAATGGCGTCGAGCTCTCATATTTCGATCGATGTCCAATTATTGAAGGCTCGAATACGAGAAGCGAAAGGGTCAGGACAATTGTACGGTAATTTAAAGCACTCTAGTAATGAAGAAACTCGCATTTGAACCACGTAAGTATTTAGGAAAATCTTTACCGACGTCGATCAACTTCCTCGAAACGTTTCACTTCACCTTAACGAGTAGCAAAGAGGAGAAGCAAGATTTAGAATCGCTCCCATATAAATGATATTAAATTTGGCTGATTTCGGCCCAATTCCAGGACAAAATCACATTATCCTCAATTTTATTTAAGCCTTTCCCGCCTTTATGGACGTGTCCCAGGTTAAATCGCTCATATCAACTGGTAAAATAAGAGAAATGTTAAATTTCTTGGTGGCACATGCAAGATAGGACATTCTGCATATTTTATTTTTATGTGCTTACTTAATATATGGATATAAGGAATATTTCATACATCGCTGGGATTCGCATCAGTGACTGCTCTTACTGGCGAGGAAGGTCTTACAGGATTTCGGAAAGCGATTATTGATCCAGATCATACTCCTGTGTTTATGTAGGTGCGATACTTCCTTTTCTGCAACTTTTACGAGAAAACTGTAACGTTTACGAACGCGTTCTTCGGCTCTCATGTGAGGGCAACAATGCTCTCGTCCCGTCACTTCACCAACGGGTCCCTTACATAATAATGTTACGCTCGCACC